TTCTTTTTTATCATCTCTGAAGAAGCAAGTGACATTTAAAAGGCCTGATGTTAGTCCTGAGACAAGAGGACATTCATCAGAGGAAGAGCCATGGCCTTCAAAGTGCAGACATCTACCACTGCACCCTGCTGAGGGAGACTCAGTGCTCCGTGGCCTGTGAGTGTATATTTCCAGTCCCTCCCCTGTTTCTCTGGCATATAAGTAACTTTGCATATGTGTAATCCATCTACACATGTCTCATTTTTGTGTTTCCAAGTTTTCTCATTGATGACTTAGTTCCATGCATTCTCCTTAGTGCTGGCTCTGTATCATGTGGCTGGTGGTACAGAGTTATACAAGAGCTGCTGTGTAATGCAAACATCAACCCACACATAGGGAATGTATTTGTGACTGTACTTGCCACTGCCAGGTAGAACCAGCTCAGCTATGGACCTTCCACTTTGTGGTTTTTTAGGCAGAACTGAATTTGTGGAGCATTGGCCGTTTGTCATAGGAACAGTTATATAGAGAAACACTGAAAAATACCTTTGATGGGACTTCAGACATTGGGAGAGCTTATCTTACCAAGTGACCTACTGTCACTGGAGCTCTTGTTTTTTGCACTGAAGTCACCTGATGAAATGATGAATATCAAGATCTTGGTGTATAGAAGTTGAAGTTTCTTCTTGCCCCTTTCTTTTCTCTGTGGAAGCTATTCCTTAAAAAATTCCTATTGATCGTGGGACAGTTGCAAGGAAGAATTGTCTATGAATCTTCTCAATGCAGGACAGGAACTCTACAGGGAAATAAGATTGTAACTTCATATTGCTGTAAGCAAGTATATGCTGCCAAAAGAAGAGTTTCTACCCTGTTCAGTTGTATCACTTCTATCACTTCCACTATTCTTTGTGTTGGCACCACCATTCACATGGTGAACTAGATTCTCACATTAATACAAGTTGACGTTTAATCTTCAAGAATCAGGATTGCATGCAAGGAGAATGTTGCAGAGCAGGGATGAATGATGAAACAGGACTGTTTCCTTAGCTGCAATGCCAGCTCATGCCAGTTTACAATAATCATAAGTCTGGAGCATTCTTGGTTTTGTTTTTCTTTTCAGAAATGCCATTCAACGAGCCAGGTTAGCACCACGGAAGCCTGACTTCCCTCTGGAATCTCTAGAAAGCAAGGAACTGCTGGGACCTCCTTTTATTAGGTAGAAAATCTAATTTTAGAAGTAAAGAGGTTGACTTACAGTGGGCATCGTAGAGCAGCTAACTGGAGAGTTGTATGCAAGGGAATGACAGGAGTCTCCCCTTTTTTGCACTGACCCAAAGGACAAGGCCAACAAGTTGCAGTGTATAGTGACCTTATCCTTCTTCCTGTACAGGTCAGAGGTGCCCTTTCAGCAAAAATCTGTGAATAAATGTCCTGCACAGACTGGGAACTTCATGCTGACGCCTCACACGGAAGAAAGTACCTGTAAATGTCTGTCTCAGATGGACGGTGCTGCTCATCCCCATCCCTCGCTCACTTGTGCTTCTCTTCCCCTGTGGACACAGGACAAGCACAGAGCTGGGCAGGGGCCAGAGCTGTGGTCTCCTGCATCTTTCATGTCCCACATGAAAGCTGGCTCAGAAGAGGTGAGTGCATTGCTGAAGGAACAGTTAGTGTGTGTGCTGGGCTGCTGCCAGCAGGCCCATTGCTTGCTGCTGTGTTTTCTTGTGGTTCTTCTGAACTGCCCTGGTTGAGCTGGTTTTCACTTGTTCTAGATGTTATCTTTAAAGCTGACCAAGTGAACTGCCTCTGAATGCCCAAGAACTGTTTACCTCTAGTCTGAAGCAATCCACATGTGGGGTTCTGTATTTCATGTCTTTTTCCTGTTTGTCTTCCTAGCCAGATTTTTCCTAGCAAGAGGTGTGAGGGTGCTGCCTCTTTGGAGTTCAGAGCAGTTACAGTTTGCTGTCCAGATTGCAGGGATTTAAGAGAAACTCAGCTTAGGAGCAGTGTGTGTGTGTGTCTGACAGCTTCAAATAATTGAAAGTTACTTAACCTGCAAGTAGGTGCTTGCTTTTTGAATTCCTTGTTCCACACAGAATGGGAAGTTTTAATCTTGGTGAAATATTTCCATGCTAGTAATCAGAGTCCATCTTTTAAGCTATGCTTCTTCTGTGGGATTTGATGAGAGGGGCTTAGCACCTACAGGAGTTTTCTGAGTGGGAGTAGGACCAAGTAGGTCAGGCATATCCTACTTGTAGGGTTTACTTAGGAAAACCCTCTGAGGAAAACCCCAATATCATTCTCACCTTCTAGAGAGGAGGTCAGCCTGCCAGTGGTCACAAAGGAGCCCATTCCCAAGACTCGCAACAGAATTTTGTGAAGAAGTTGCCACCAAATTTGCAGCCACATTTGCTGTCATCTGAAGACTTGGTGGGAAAAGGGAGTCACCAGACTGCAGGTATATCCTCAGATCCAAACTGTAGCTGTTGCTCATCTTCCTCTCTAATCTGTGTGAGACTGCAAGTCCCTGCCACAAAATGTATGGGAGACAGGGCAATCTTGTGTGCCATCATCAGGAGGTACAGGGTACCAGTACTCCTTTCTGGGAAGGTAACTGCAGTTGTGTGGATTCTGCTGAGTCTGGGGGCTAAAGCCCTGCTCTAGGCATTGAAGGATGGGAACTGCTTGAACATTCTTTTAGCAAGAATGTGCTCAGGTGCTGGGGTGTTCACATGTACAGCAGAAACTTGCCTCAGGACAGAAGTTCATCCAGTAGATGAACTCTGAGATGTCCCTGTACTTACAGTATGGCTGTAAAGGGGACAGATGGTGTCTAAGTACCTCCCATTGTGGTATTTTAAATGACATCAGAGCATGACATTTGTTCTGCAGGACTACTGTACTTAATTACTTAATTACTTCTAGACTAAATGTGAAAGACTAAATCCTGAACAGGCCAAAACAGTATCTGTAGTACTGAACCAGAGCATTTTGTATCTTTTGTGTGCTCAGACTGAGTCTTCAAGAGCTTATTCAGTTGTCAGAAGTCCTGCCCTCTCACTGTACCTGATTCTTTGGGGTGAACAGGCACATGTCACAGGGTAACCAAACACATGAAAAGCAGTTGGGAGGGTTCCTTTTTTCCTGTCATTAAAAATATTTTCTGATTTTTTTGATAAGAAGAAAGAGTGGATGTCTGTTCTACCTCCATTGCTTGTGCCTTATATCTTCCATTCAGCTGAAGGGGAAGAGAGAGAACACAATTCCAGAGAAGAAATGATGTTGGAGAGAAAGGTGGAAGTTGAACTCTGGCATATGCAGCAGCAGATGCAGTACTACTACAGCAGGAAGCAGGAACTCAAGTAATGCCCCTTTAACCAGCCTTTTGTCACGTTGTCCACTCTGTTGCACTTTTTCTGAGTATCTACCCTAGAAATAATCAGTCTGTCCACAGTAGAGCTGTGAATGACACAGAGAAAAGTTCCAGAGGTTTTTATTTTCTCGAGTTCACTCCAGGTGAAGGAGAGTGTGTGCATAACTACTTCTGTAGTCAGCCAAGTGGTTTAATTACACCTTTGGCAGCTCTTGCAGAAGCATGTCAGAGGTATCACTGGGTGTAATCAGGAGACTGTACAAATGAATAGGGCAGAGCAGTTGAAATTTAGCTTTCAGTTATTTTATCAAGAGGAGTGAGGACTGAGCTTTTCCGGCTTTCAAATAAAAAAATTAAATATGGCTGGTATTTGATAACTGCTCTACTAGAACAAGAAAACAGAAATGCTCAAAAGAAATTGGGCTTGGGGGGGATTTAACTGTCAGGAAAAGAAGTAGTCAGGGGCTAGAAGCAGGAGGTGGAGATGTCAGATTTCTCTGCTTTCCAGCATCTTTTGGGTTTTTTTACTTTTTTAAAAAAGATTTTAACCATTGACTGGTTTGAGACAAAAAAATGGGTCTTATTGCAAGTATCAATTGCAAGTCTAAGTTGGCTCAGACTGTTGAGCTCTTAATTTGGATAAGAATCCTTCTAATCCATTTTATCAGGTGCTGTCAGCAGCAGGCACAGATTCTGCAGCAGTGGCTGGAAATGAGCAAGCAACCAGGAGCCCAAGATGGCATGCAAGGAGTTCAGGAAGAATTGGGTCAGGTGTGTACACAGCATTTAAATTGAAGCTACTGAAGTGATTATCACTGTGCCATGCACTTAGCCTGAAGGCTGATAGTAGCTGCAAGGAATTGTGTAGTAAGCTGTTAGTAAAATGCCAAGGAAAATTTGTAGTCAGAAGTAGGCTGAGAAGCAGAAGAGGCTGTGTAGATGCCTCTTCCTGTTTGTTCAGAAGTGTAACTCCTGCTCCAGTAGACCTTTCTGAGGCTATTTCCAAGTATGGATCAAGCTTTCATAGACTCAATCTCAAAATTTTTCTGCAATTTCTCAAGACAATTCCCTGTGTGCAGACTGGACCTGCACTGCTTTCAGGCCCCAGGTTCACACAGCCAGGTGTGGGTACTGGTACTTGACTCCAGCCAGTCCTGAGCTGTTCCTGAGTGACACAATCTGTCATGTACTGGCGCTCAAGTGAGAGAATACAAAAGCTGCTGGAGCAACTCTGGCTGTCAAAAAGACTAAATATTGTCTCACTGTACAAACTTATGCTGATGCACTTGTGTTCCTTTCAGTTGCAGGTGAGGATCAACGCTCTCACCAAAGCACAGCTGGCTGAGAGACATCACGTGCAGGCCCTGCTTGCCCGCCTGCAAGATATCCAGCTTGCCCTGGGTCTGTAGTGCACCTTCCAGCTTCTCAGCTCAGGGGTAGGACTTTATGCCCCTTTCATAGCAGGGGACAATGGAAGAGATGTATCCATTCACTTAGTTCTATGTATGGAATTTATATTTGATAAATTAAGTGAAAATAATTTTGCTTTTTTATTGTTACTCTAGCTGATCAAAACCAAACTGGAGCTACATCTACCTCATGCTGCACTTGCAATACCTAGTTTACGTTACCTGTCATGCCACAAAGATAAGCAACACAGATAAGACTCTTTATTTCAAAATGTTTGCAATTAAATGAGTTCATGTCAGTAAGTCATACACTTTGACGTACAAAAATACCGTGCTACTGATACAGTTGAATTAAATGGATTCTCCATGCAGGAGAAATTCACAGCATTATCAGTACCCTTGAGGAACTTTTTCACTCCTGGGGTGCATTGCTGGCCCCTGCATCACAAGCAGTGTTGGTTTATTAGCTCGCTCTGCACAGTATTAAAACCATCATAACAACAGCCACTTGCATGCTGAATCCTCTCTTTCTTCTGAGATTTCTAATAAAGCAAACATCAAGCAACCCATCCTCCATCACTAGGCTAATATTTACCTTCAGATACTATAGATGATGCTGCTAAGTAGGAAGAAATTAAAGCTTAAACTTCCTTTGGCTCTGTCTGGATGTCACAGACCTCAGTGGAAAAGAAGGAAAATATTCAGTTGTCTTTTTCTCTCATCTACTGGAACAAATTTGCTTTCTCTTGTTAACATGACATTGACATTTAATCAGAAAGCTGACTCTAACTTTATCCTCTTGGTGCTGATATTTGCCTTACTCTTTTCTCTCTCTCAAAGATTTAAAAAGACTTGTATCTGATACTATACTGCTGCAGGAGTAAACTTGCTAATACCAAGAATTATACAAGATAGGTGGCTGAGAGCCACTTCAAGCTTTCAAACTCCTCCCTGTGTGAGGAAACACTGACTCCTGGAGCCAAATGAATTTTCTCCTGCTTGTCACCCAAACAGCCACCCTCATCTGACTCACGCCTGGGCTGCATCACTTAGAGGCAGTCTGTCATCCCTTCCTTCCCGATGACAAGCTAAGCATACAGGACTTGGCAAACTGGACATTTGTACAACAAAATTATATTCTATCTTCTGCAGTGCATACAAAGAAGGGTTTCTTTAGGAGATCAGAGCTCGTCAAAGCCTCTCATCTCCTTGAAGTAGCAGAAAAGAGCTCAAGCAAGGAAGTAGTAGGAGAAATCTTTCAGAAAGCACAAAGGCAGGTTTCATAAGCGTGTCCACTCCAACAAGCTCTGGATAGCAAAATCAGTTCTAAATGTTTGAGTGCTGGGACTTGAAACAGTTTATTCTCAAAAAACAATTTATACATTGCTTTAAAACTCAATTCCTCTTCACTCTGGCAGTGGTTTTTGTCAGTGCCACATGCAGTAGATCCAAGGTGTCAGATTTTAACTCTTCTTGATGTGAAGTCACAAAGAGGCTTTAAAATTTTACAGCACAGATTTCAGCCCCCAGCACATTCCTAGCATTAAGTAGGAGGGTACAAGTCAGAGCCAGTGTGGTTTTTTGTTTTGTATTTTGAATAAGATGAAGTTGTTGCCCAGTTAAGGGAGGGCCAGATTGGTACCTGGGAAGTAACATGGGGTTTCTTTAAAGAGCCATAAATATTTTAAACACAGTCAGTGCATAGGCATAGGGCATTTCACTCTCTACAATAAAAATTGGTCCTGAAGTAGCTGAAGCTGTCCTTTAAGAGAGGAACTAATTCTTCAATAATTTAGTGACAAAGTAACAAGATACATAGCAGAAAGAAAAAGCATACTTTAGTTGCCATCACATCACCCAGCAAAACTATGCCCTGTGTCTTCTAACTCTTTAATCCAAGAGATGAAGTTAACTGTCTTTCATAAAGACAAAAACTTTAAGGCCTGGAATAGCAAAATAAAACAAACAAAACAATGGATTAAGAAGAGGACACAGAGCTGTGTCTGTCTTAAAAGAAAGAAAGAAAATCTCAATATGACAAGTTCTGTTGTCTGGAATGTAGACACTTTTTCAGGTTTAAAATACAGTGCAAAGCCCATTTTTAAAGGGACAATGTCAGACAAAAGAACTAAAGTTGTCTAACACTACAAAACTCAGGATGAGGGTCACTCATTGTACTGACTGACTGTTACACATTTTGCTTTGTTTGGGCCATGAAGCCACACCAGCAAATTTTACTGTTTGGCCATCTGTGAATTCAGAGACTGCTTTTATCTAGCAACTTGGGTGGAGTTTCTTAGAATAAAATAAATATGAGAATATATTCTTTACTCAAGGTCTGAAAAACAGATACTGTAGAGAGGAGGTACAAGGTCTGACTCACCTGTCAGTGTCCCTTTAAATACAGGTAATCTCTACCTCCACCCTTTCCCACTGCACCTGCCTAGGAAGGCTTAAAAGGGACTTAGAGGCTCTAAGAACATAATTATCCTGTGGCACATTCAGGGGAGAACATGAAAGACTACAGGCACAGGGTGGGCCTGAAACCACCATGGGCAACATCTTTAAAGGCAGCTGTACCCGATACATCCATGATCATTCAATTCAGTTTCTACATTCAGCAGCAGGTAAATGTAGACCAAACACTATCAAGTTTAATGCAGCAGTGACATCTTCCTCCTCACCCAGGTCCTGCTGAGTGATACAAACTTGATAAGTGAAACACTCAATGGTGTGAAAAGAGTCCCTTTTTATACAAAATCTTCTTGCTGAGACAGTTCCTATAGAGAGCCCAGTGCTTCTCCAAAGCGGATTTTCTGTCCAGCTTTGAGGTTGAATCTGAAGTCCTTGGGTGCCTCAAAGATTAGTACGATCGTAGAGCCTAAGTTAAATTCCCCTAAATGTTCCCCTTTCCTCATGGGGATTCCCTCCTTGTTGTTGTTGGATATGAAGCTGAAGTCATTGTAGGAACCTTTAGAGTAACTTGGACTGTTCGTGTGCAAGTCCTGTACAGAGAAGGAAGAAGAGAAGGATTTACTGGAGGATTTCAGTGCTCTGTATTCATTCATCACTACAGCCATGGACTGTACACACTTGTGCATTTTCCATGCATGAACTCACAGTTCAAAGGTGCAATAGGAATATTTTAAAAATTGTCTATATTGGAGACAGCACTGTTCAAATCAGTCTTAGAATATCAGTACTGTGAAACACCCTAATTTCAGGGTAATAAATTTCTTTTTTTAGATTTTGTTATGCTGCACCAACCTCAATCATTAACACCAGAAAGGTGCCTGCTATGATCCTGCTCACCTGGTCGAAGTAGATGCGGATGGAGCCCACGTTTGTTGCTCCTACAGCTGTTAATGAGAAGAAGCCATGTTTCCAGTCACCTGTAAGAACAACCCGTTCATTGTGGCAGAACAGTTCCTTGATCCAGCGAGCAACTCCAGGATTGACAGACATCAGAGAGCCTGAAGAAGTGAGAAAATATTCAGGTTAGCTTGTCTGGTTTGTAGCAATATTGTAATGCCACTCAGATGGTGTTTTCAGTGTAACTGGAGCTGATCCAGTAAACAACTCTGTCAGTTACTTGTAGGAAGAGAGGCAAGTGCCAGGCAGAGCAAATGAAAGAGAAGTCTGTGCTGAAAACAAAGGGGTCACAGAAGGATGCGTGTGGTGGGCCAGTCTCTCTCTCATGGTGTTTGAAACCAAATCCAAATACTTAGGGTTTTGCTAGATACCAAGAAGTAAAATATTTTTATCTGCAAGAACATCCAATCCCAGCTCCAGTAGTGTAACTGTTCAGTTGCATTTTCTTTGCCAAGTACAAACAGAGATCATACTTTAGGCTACTGTTTGGTGTGATCTGCAGAACTATCTATATTTCAAACTGAATAAACATTGTTTGGAAACGAATCAGGTCAACATGAATCCAGGGGTACTTCAAAGAACTCAAACAGTTTGAATACAGTATTGCTGTTTTTACCATTTTTATGTGATTTGCTCTGGTAAACTATACAGCTGCAAAACTCATTACTGTTTGAGACTAATCACTTTTCTACCATTGTATATCATGTTACTGTACAACTTCTGCACTGCTGTGTCTCATTCTGCAGAGGCCCATAGCAGTGCTTCCCTCCATAGCTGCTCTGCAGCTGTTTCCTAGGAACAGAAACCAACCTGGGAAATGCCGTCGGTGTGACACTGTCCAGTCCGTGGGCGAGTGGAAGCAGTGATAATCCCCTGGTGCAAGGTAAATTACACAGTGGTAGAGCTCATTCCCCTCCTTTGTGACCAGTTGTTGCTGAAAAGAGTTACCAGGTGGGGCTGCAGAAAAAGCAGGGAAAGGAAGGGGTTAAAGATACTCCTTCTCAAGTCACCTACCATAGCCAGGCAGTCTATGTTGGAGCCAGTGCAATAGTAGAGGATTAAATGCACCCCACGTGGATTGTGAGGCTACAAACATAGGTTTCATGCAGAAATCCAGTATTCCAAATGTTCCTTTCCCTTTACAAGAAAATTAGTGAGGCTGCAAACATAGGTTTCATGCAGAAATCCAATATTTCCAAATGTTCCTTTCCCTTTACAAGAAAATTAGATCCTGGATTGTTTCAATCACAGTGAAAAATTTTCTTTTGGAGTTTGCCCTTCCCTAAGCAAAATAGCAGAAACCGAAATCCAGTACAACAATCCAGAATTTTTATTAAAGCTACCCTTTAAGAACAGAATTTGTGGAGAGTCCTCTAAGTCATTAGAGGGATAGTGCTTGAGCATGGATCTTGTTAAGGAGTAGCTTATCCAGTTTTTGCCAGCCAGTGCTTGGGCTCATTTCAGTGTGACAGCAGGACTGCTGCAGCCATGGTATAGCAACGGATCTTGGAGTAAAGTGTAGGAACCAAGCAACTCAGTTCAGATAATCAGAATGAGCCAGGCATGACTGTATAAAGCCATTGGTGAGAAAGAGAAGAACTAGAGCAGCAACACGGTTACCCGCAAATAAAACAAAGCAAAAATCAGACTTGCTTTTGTTCCTGACAGTGCAAGAAAGTGTTACTTTTTTCATCTCTATTAGTCTTATGATTTCTGAGAACACTGAAAGGGCACAGCAGAACTGACACAGAACTCACCCTGGTTAAAATGCATTTCCTCTGTGGAGATGCGAGGTCCCAAGAAAGATTCCAGAGAATAAGTAACCCCCTTTACTTGCTCCACTTCACAATTTTTTACCTGTCCAAAATTAAGGATCTTTCCATCAGAGGGACTAATCTACAGCAAAAAGAAAAAATGGGAACAGTTAGCAGTTCATTATTTCCTCACGAAGCAGTGCCATTGCTCTGGGGGCTGAGGGAACTGGCAGTGCTGGGTAAAGGCCTCCCTTCCTTTCACTCACCACACTGTGCACACAGCACACCGGCCGCGCCTGCGGTTTCAGCTTCCTGCGGAAGAACTCGCTGAGGTTCCTGTAGTGATGCAGATCCTCCACAGCTGCCTCCTTCATGTTCACCCCGAAGGTCCAGATGTACAGGCTGTACACCGGCTTGCGCAGCCACGTGGGCAGCTCCACCTGGTTCAGGCGACCCCAAGCCCGGGAGAGCAGCCGCGTTGGCACCGACTTGTACAGGGCAACCTGAAGGGAGAATCGCAGCGGGTCAGTGTTCTCCCCACTGAAGGCCTCCTTACTCCTCCCCGTAACACAGGAAGGATCAAACTGTTTCTGCAAACCCCTCCCTTGAATTCATGGGTTACAAGCAGCATTTAGGCAGCAAAAAATGTGCACTGCACTTCATTCCCTCCATGATGAGAGACGGGATGAAACTTAATATAATTTTAAAGTGAAGCCAGAATTTCCAGTCCCTTGCAGGCTGAAGCTCCACATTGAAGTTATTGGAAACTGCCCAATGTGGGGCTTACAGAAAAAAGAGACATTGCACATATTATAGTAGAATGCTAATCAAAAAGGTTTAACATTACCAATGTATAAATTTTTGTGAATATTGACTGGAAAATGACTTCTCAGTGTTGGATGGCATGTTCCTCAGATGCAGCTGCTACTGAAGGTGTTTCCCACACCCAGTACTGTGCTGTATGCTCTAATGACACAAGTACCATCAAAGAAATGTACCCACTGGATGCAGCTACACAGGCGTAAACTTATACCGGCCTTACTCCTTCTCTCATGACAATGGGAGTTGCTAATTACAAGAATATTAAGTGCCTTTACTTCTCTAGAAATACACCTTTGGACTTGCACTAAAACCCAAGTTTTAGCAAGGAAATCAAATGAAACAAAGTTGGCAAGAGTTATCTGCTGTTGATGGAAGTGGAGAGATGACAACATCTTTCTGTTGATAATTCCAGCAGACAACTCTTCTGGGGTTTGTGGTACTTGCTGTCAGCCAGGAAGCTCACATGGCTATGATGTAACTGGGGGAAGCTGGGGAATATGGACCAAGGGAACTGAGCACTCTGAAATCAGCTTTGCAAAGGAAGTGATGATCTGCTGACTGGTGTTTTTGAACAGCTTGCAGATAAACCTTGGGATTTTTCTTAGTGAGAGTCATTTGTTCTCAATCATATCCTTCATTATTAAGTCTTGCAAAACACAGCCATAAACACAAACAGAAGTATGCACTGGCTCCATCATACCAAATACAGCAAATTAAGATTTTACTTACAAATAACCATCCTGTGTACATACAGGGATATTTCAGAAAGGAAGTACCAACCTAATCTTACTTCAGATAAAACCTTCTAAATGAACAGCGCTTTAGATTATCTAAGCTGAAGGATTGAAGAAAAAAAATATTTCCATTTTATTTGACATGCCCTATACTGGATTAATTTCTAAAAATTAACTTTGCTGTTTTCCACCAACACCAAAAATGTACATACAACTATACAATCACACCGATTGTCAAAAGCAGCATTTCCTAGCAGCCCCTTCTCTTCAATGGAGGCTGGTTTTCAAGCTGATGGGATCAAACAGAACAGATGTTCAATGAAATAGGCTTAAGAATGGCAATTTTGTTCCTGTTTGCAATCAAAATACTTACTTGGTTGTTGGATTCTGAAATTGCATTATTTGTGGGGAGAATTACTACATGCAAGGCATCCCATATGCCGCTCTCAGCGGTGTCAGAGCAGAGATTTGTTTATCATTTGGACATACTGGACTACGAATGCTCAATGAACTTGAGGAACAAACTCTCTTGGTGTGAAAATAACAAAAAACAAGAGACCATTTCAACAGGACCAGGAAAAGGAACTTGCCAGAAGGTTTGGTCTTCCTTGTCCTAACCCTGATAGTGTGAGGTGACTGAATTCCTTCAGAAGTTTCTGTTGACTTTCCCTGACTGTTAGAGGACAAAGTAATTCTCTGCTCCTGAAAAAGTCACTTGTCTGTGAGGCAGTTAATCAACACAACCACAGCAAAAACTAAAGAGACGCCCGAATTGCACCTCTACTTTCACACCAGTGATCACCAGGCTGTCCTGCATGCAGCAGCTCTCCCCCCAGCTGCTGCCAGCTCCTCCAGGACACAGCTCCCAGACATGGCACACGAGAGACCTGCTCACACTTACCCTGCTCATAGGCCTCCATCCCACTCTGGTCAAGGGTTTAAGAGCACCGAAAGGCAGAAGGTAATAGAGAATAGTCAGAGGCCAAGAACGGAGTTTCAGAGCAGGCCTAGACATACAGCTCAGCTGGCCCAACCTTCGCCTCAGGGCCAGCTGGGGGAATTGCAACCTGAAAGATTACATACACAACATCAGAGGGTCAGGCATCTCAGCTTCCCACAGCTGGGGTGAGTTATTCCTGCTAACGTTTCTTAATCTTTGATACTACAAGTCTTTACTTCTTGATTTCGATCAGTTCTCCCCCTTCCCAAAATAGAAGAACTGTTTATCTAAAAAATAACAGTCTTCTATCCAAATAATGGTGTTCCCCCTCACAGGTCACATTTTAGGAATGACACCCTCAAACATTAAAGGTAAGACCAGTTTCCAGGTCTTAAAGCCTTCAGTGAATATCCTGGTTCCAAATAGGGAACATGTGGACAAAGCCAATATTGCTACTAGGCACAATTCAGTGAGTAATCCTGGTTCCAAATAGGGAACGTGTGGACAAAGCCAATATTGCTACTAGGCACAACAATCTAGTCTCCATAGCCCCATAACCAACTACCCTGCCTCAAACCAGCTGTATCTCTGATTTTTTTTGTTACATGGATGTCCTGACTGAGAGAAACCTCATTTTGCACAAATGACCATGAGGAGAAGTTGACCTTCTCTCACAGGGAAAAGCTACTCAGCTTCTTAGCAGAGGACAGGGCCGCAGTTCAGACCCTTGCAGGAGGTCTGGATGCAAAACCCTTCAGCTCCTCATTTATTCTTTGGCTTCTGCTCATGAAAAAACCACTGATATTTCCAAGGTCACATTATCAAATGGAAATCTGTCTACCTGAGGGCAAACTATTCAAATGACTGACTGAACTCCTGGCTAGGAGACAGTTCTGCCACCAGGACACAGCGACATGCACACACAAACTGAAGTGGCACAGTCTGCCTGCTCCCAACAGCTCGCTCTCTCAGGGGATCCTGTGACATGTAAGAGGAAGTACAAAATACTGTGTATGTCTTTCCAAGATGGAAAGAAGCTGAGAATTTTAAAGGAAATTTTCTTGCCAACTTGTTATTTTCAAAACTTGGATCAGAATTGAAATATCAGGCAGACAGGTATAACTGTCACTACTTTGGGATGCAAGATGGTGCTTTTGGCTCAGAGATCTTTTTTTTTCTGCAGTGAACACAACTTCTTTCCTCTGAAGAACTAGTAAACAGAGAATGATCTGTGCATCTTAATGCAACGGCGAAAAAGAACCCTGAGCAGAAGTGCTGTCTTAGCAGAGTTAATGCAGGCTTCTCAGCAGGAGGTAAGATTGACTGACATGGGAATAGGAAGGGACACTTCCCATTCTCCCTCCCATCCCTACTCCCCAGCAGCCTGCAAGGGCTGGCGGGCCGGGAGCCGGGTTGGGCCCTGTTCTCCCCCTCCTGCTGCTCTCCCCCCCTTCACTGCAGTCGCTCCTGGACCAATCCCTGCAGAGCTGCATCGCGTTGGAGCCCTCGGGCTTCTCACTGCCTTGGCCTGGTTTCAGAGCGGCCCCTCAACTAATTTTTCCATTCTCCTAGTGATAGAGAGTAGAAGGGAAAGGAATGAAAGCTTCCCCATTCCCCTTGTCATGGAACAGCATGCCCTTCTCTGCCAATACAATGTATAAGGAGCTTTATAGTAATTAGGCCAAACAAAAGCTTCGCAGACGGCTCCCGCTCCTTCTGCCCAGAAACCCTCCCAGCCTCCCTCCCGCTTCAGTCACCATTCCTGCAAAGCAGAAAATACTGAACTGTACCTGAAACGAGTTCTCCTACTTGGTGTCCCACCAGCAGAGCCAGCTGGGCCTGGACTCTCCAGCTGTGGGTGCTGGTCCCCGGCACAGCTGCTGCTGCCGCCGTTCCCTGAACGCAGCCTCCGGACATGAATTTTAACTTTGTGGAGGTTGTAGCAAGAGGGTGGAGGGTTAGATAAAGCTTTGTAGCATCTCACCATTTCCCTGTGTGGAGCTCTGGTCCCTGCAGGGTGTTTGACTGACACATCGTCAGGGTGACGGCTGTTGCAAGGCTCAGTCTTTTTTCCTCTACCTCTCTTTCCTTTGCTTGCTCCGGCACAGGAGAGAGGACACGGCGTCACAGTTCCTAAATCCCCCGCTGGTTTGTCTCTGGATTCCCTCTCTGTTTCCCACTTGAATCTCTGCTACGAGAGTTGCAGCTATTGCAAACAAACAGGCATTGTGTCATATTTCAACATCCCACTACAAAGCCGACTCTGCACACGATAAAAATGAGCTGTCCATATGAGCAGTCCTTGCTTCTTGCTAGTCCGGGTGGCCATTGAAGCCCAACTCCCCAAAAAACACCCTGCAGTCTGTCCCAGGCTGCTGGGCAGCAATGCTCTAGTGAGAGGAGCAGCCAGCTGGCCTTGCACAGCTCATCCCAGCGCCAGCCTGAATGCAAGACTGGGAGGAGGAGCGGGGCGGAGAAGAAGAGGAGGAGGAGGAGATAACTCCCAGCTTCAATTCTGCAGTGCAGCAGCAGCTGCTAAGAGTTCTGCACTGTTGGGCACCAAAAATCCTTTCCTGCTCTTAGTGTCCAGCTTGTAAAGAACAGAACAGAAAGGAATGTCTTTCTATTTTACAACTCTTGCCGGACACAAACATCCATCTGCGGAAATCTCCTTCCATCTCAAAACACTCAGTTAAGGGAACAAGTAATGGACATTCTTCTACAAATAACCAGACACGTACAAAAAAAGCCAGTTTGAGGGCCAGCTTGAGAATTGGGTAGAAAAGAAGTGTTACGTGTCTATTATGTGACTTTCAGTACTGTCACAGTTCTGTGTCCAGTAGAAGTAAAATACAAAACAGTAGGAAAGGAAGCTGCTTTGATTTTTAACGACAAAAGGCTGCACTGTTTCTATCTAAGAGAAATTTCCCTCTTTACTCCTACAGAACACACCTCAAACATTGGTGACTAGGTTTGGATTGTTGAGCCCTGCTTCAAGAAGTGGAAGTCAGAGAGCTACATATCACCTCAAGATTAAACCAAATATTCAGGACAATTTCAGGGCTAACTTTCTAGTGGTTACATTTCACTTCTGCTTTCTGCTAAATCTGGGCTGAAAACAAAAAAAAACCCTCCTTGTTTCCAAAGCCTTCTAAGCACCATGAAAACTCTGTGGCTAACAGAGTAGATCAAAAAGAGCACTGTTGCTCTGATTGAGGGAAAGGCTTGTATTGTAATAGGGATAAGGCAGAGGAGTGGGAGGACCAGCAGGAAAAACGAGAATTAACTAGCTAATGGCATCCTAGTCAGGCCTCAAAAGGAAAATATTCAAGCAGTAATTGTGTATTTTGATTGGCCTTCAACTCCAAATATTACAGATAGTCTCTAGAAACACCTCTGGAGATCCTGCAGTAGAGTATTCTTCTCGGGTAGAAAACCTCTGCATGGTATTCTGTGTGTCAGGAAGTTCCAAGACGTGTGTGCATGTTGTTCAAGCTAAATTTGAACAACTGCAAATTAAAAAAGAAACCCAGCTAACTGAAAGAAGGGAAATTTAAGTTCAATGAAAGCACTCAAAACATACTCCTTCCTCCCTGAGCCTTGTGCCAACTCTTTTTGTTTTCCTATTTAAAATATCATTTAGTCTTTCTCTGGCTGGCACAAGAAACTCCTACACAACAAAAATGATGCCATCTGTATAGTAAAATGCTAAAAGCAGTTAGCCAAAATCCTATCAAAATTCAAAGAAAAGCAACAAGGAGCACAGGGGACTGCTTCTCGATTCATGGGGAACATTAGAAATTAGTAAATACTTAATTTTAAACAGCAACAAGCTAAATCGACAATGTTTCAAAAGAAACTTCATCTGACAAAGACAAAATTATTTTTCACACTGAACACATGTTCACAGAACTGTGGGGAGAGAATTCGTTTGGAGCTGGGCAGGAGCAGCAGAGCACCCAGCCCAGCAGCTCCTGCAGCCAGCGTGGAACCTTGCCCCCCATCCCATCTCCTCCTGTGCAACCTTCACCCTTGCAGAGAGAGAGAGCAAACACATCTTATCACTTCTACTTCAGTGCTCTTCCCTTCAGGATAAGGGAGGTAACCCACAAGCTCTTGCAGTAAAATTCAGTTTTATCCCTCAAAACACTTTTAAGGAATTATTATATTCCCAGCTGCCTAACCATGATTCTGTGGAAGCATGTAGCCAGATAAACAGCTGACTTGCTCCCTACAAAACCCAGACACTGAAATGTTCACCAGCCTGATGAAGTGGGTAGTACCACCTTTCAGTCCAAAACAAAAAATGTGGGGCAAGAGAGATTCCTCTCCAGGAAGGGAAAAACATGGGTGTTACCAGTTTTTTTCCTCCACTTCTTAAAAAAACTGTGCGCAGCCAAGTAAGAAGTTTCTCTTAAGTTCTGTTCTACTCCCCTCATGACCAGGATGCCAATACCTGAGTCCTGCTGAGGTGCTGACATGCCTGCTCTGGCTGCCCCAGAAACATGCAATTCCTACAGTGTAAGAAGGCTGAAATGAAAAATCCACCCTGAATTTACCTGTGTTCCATGGAGAAAGAAACAAGAACTGCTCCTCAGACAGCTCATGACAGAGGAACTCATATAATGGCATTTCAACAGCTAGACCTCTTGGGATGTAGGCAGTGCCCACAGCCTGTGTCAGCTTAGACATCATCAGCTTAGACAAAAGTCTTTAAAATGTCTGGTTTGTAGGGGTTGCACACCATTCCCAAACTCCCTCGCCTGTCTGAACTCACCCAGAATCCACACTGGGCAGATGAAACAGCAGTTACCAGCAGGTATGAATTCACAGAGAATTATTATCTCATAGAGAACTGCTAATCTGCCAACTATGCAACAGCTTCTACTCTGTCAGCTCAAATAAGCATCAAATCCAGTGACCTCTTTTGTCAAATAGTTAACCACTCAAATCCTCATCTCAAGTTTTAAAAAATGACACAGCAAGGCAGTTGCAAGAAAGACTAATATTCAATCGAACTGCAAACCTGTAGCCTCGGTTTTAAACCGTAAGCATGAATCACTAGGCTTGGAATGTGCTGGTCAGTGCTCAAAGCCCTCTGGTCAAACTTTCTACATTTGGTCACAGAACTACTGTTTAAAAAATGCACTGAATGCATCCCAGTGCTGTACTCAAGTGCCAGCAAAAACTGCGGTCTTGCGCTCAGGGGCGAGGTGCTCGGTGACGGTCGTTAAAGGTCCCGTTCCTTTCCCAGCAGTAACTGTTTAATATCACAAACGTTTCCCTGCTCCCACCCAACCTTCTCCGCAGGCGTCCCGGCAGGACAAACACTGGATACTCCACACCCAGGCAGGAGCTCCCGGACTCCGAGAGCACAACAGAACCGCCCGATGCGGCCGGGAAACCTGAGCGCAGGCTGAGCGTCTGCCAAGGCCACGGGATTGCTGGGCAGCGCCCTCGGGCCGGCGCTCCCGGGAGTTTTCCAACGGGACCGCTCTCCGCGATCGACCAGCGCTGGCTAAAGAAGCCTACCGTGCTCGGCTGCATCTACCCTGCACTGTACTGTCTGAAATTCTTTACTTCTCAATACATTTTTACTTTCTATACATTTTCTCTTTGTGTTTTAGGAAAAAACCTTTTTATTGCTTTCCCCTAACTTCACAATGCTGTTTCAGTTACTTTGTATAAATAGAGCAAGGAGAAAAAAAGAAATTTTTTAGGATAGCCTAACTGGACGACTGGGTTCTGAATTTTTTTACACAGTCTCAAAGATCTTCCGTGAAGCAAGGAGATAAAGCTTTATTTATTTTACAAAGTGACATGAAATTTGATGGCACGCTTTTAATACTTTGTAGTAGTAATTTCCAACTAATGGTTTAGAACAACACTCCCCCAGTACCACCCCCTACTATCGCCCCATTATTTTAGTTCAAGATATCACTAAAGCAAGCTCTCAGCTCTATAAAGGATCCCTAAAGGAAGCATGAGCAGCGTTACATCCTCCCCACACAGCAGCGGCCGGCGGAAGCTGTGCAAAAGCTCCGGCGGCTCCTCGGCCCCCTGCCCGCCCCGCGGGACTCTGGACTCCGATAAGGCTGGTCCAGCAGACTCGTTTTGTTTAAATCTACTCAAAGATTACTCATGAGTCGACTTTGGAACATCACCTGAAACTTCCAGCAAGCCAGAGTGAATCACCCCTTGGCCACCAACCCTCGCACATCTGCTCTGCGGTCCGGTAGCCCTTACCTGATGCCCAGGGAAGTCTCCTTCGTCCCGGCTTTCCGCCTTCAATCGCCAAAATACGACACCGACCCTTCCTTTCAAAGCAGTTTTCAGACACGTGAACAAAGTTCAGCGGACTGCGAACCCCCCCCCCACCGCACCGCAGCCATCCCGCCCCCGGGGCCCCTTCTCCGGGCAGGGAGCGGAGGCGGCCACAGCCGCATCCCCGTCCCGGCCGGTCCGCTCCTACCTCCCGCCGCAGGCACCGCTCCCGGCCGGCCGCGCTCCCGCTCGCTGCGCCGGGCGGTGCCGGCCCGTCCCAGCCTTAAGGAAGCGGCGCGGGCCTAGCTCTGCCCCGCCTCGCCTCCAGCCACTGGCGCTGCTCGGCGGCTCCTTCCCGCAGGGCCCCGGCCCCTTCGGAGGAGGGGCCAGGGCAGCACAAACGCAAAGGAAGAAAGAGCGGAGGGCTCCTGAACTCGGCGGGATAAGGGGCTGCCCCGGGAGGGTCGGGCACTCCTGGGGATCAGCGCTCAGCTTCCCAAAGATCCGCTGGCCCGGACAACGGGGAAAGAGAATTGTCGGGGAGCAAGGCAGCGGTGCGGATTCTGTGCATTGCACAGCTTCCCTGAGACAGCTTCCCACCGCGTGTCCGGGAACACAACCCACACAGCACTGGCAGCCAAAGCAGGAAAGTGTGCTCCAGTCTCACAAACTGCTTCCGAAACGCTCAGATAAACTGCTCCATAAGCCCAGCAAGACGCTCAGGAAGATGCACAGGAAGTCGCACGACGCAGAACAGACTCATCTAGTAAAAAGGCCTTCCCACTGTTTAGATTTAAAAAAAACCCCACAAACCCAAACTGGTTTTATTTGGTTCCATTGTCCAGGACAACCGAGAAAAACATTTACACCACTGCAGCCTTTACACAATCTGATGCTGTTGAAATACCACTGGTTTTAACATTTTCTGACCATCTTTCTTGTGTACTTGAACCACTTTACAAGGATTTTGTGTTTTTTTTTTCTAATTGCATAGATGCTCCAATAAAACTCCAAGCATCAGAATCTGGGAGCAAGAATGAGGAATAAGAGACCAATGAGATTATATTTCTTCTGAAGTCAAATTAAAAAAAATAAAAATCAGATATTCTTCCATTATTAGCTCTTTCCTGAACTTGAAACACACCTCTTACCATAACACTAAATGTCTCCCTTGGGCCAAGAAAAGCACCTTCTGTATTGTACTGCCATATGAGCTCCAGTATCCTGTGTTACATAAATACAAGCACTTCCTGCCATCACTAGGAAAGGCTGTTGTTCTTACCTCTGAGAATCCAGATCCTAAACCTATCCTCAAACACTTCCCATGTGAATTAAGTTGTTTTCAAAAACTGGCCTGTGACAATTAGCTGCAGTCTGAACACTGCAGCTCACTTCCAGAGATGTTTACTGTGCTTTCCTGGCACATGTCACTCCAATGTGCTTTTTCCTTACACAGAACAGAGCAAACTACATGACCAAAGGACAGCTACAAGTTCCACTCTCAAAACTCTGGTTCATCTGGTCACTCTGTTCCTCCAAACTCCCCCTCTGGCCAAGCTTTCCCACAGTAATTATTTGATCCTGTATCAACAGTGCCCTGGTGCCCAGGTAAGAAGAAGCAAAATGCCTCTAGTTAGCATATGAATGGCATGCCATGCATGCAGATCCCGGCCAGGAAATGTTCTGTGACAGCAAAGATTTGGAACAATAAGCTTCCATCCATCTGATAAACATCCACCTGTCTCCCTCCAAGCCCTCTGCTTTACCTCATCTAATTAAATGAAAGCTGATCCCCACTGGTATTCACAGTAGGAGACACTAAGGCGTTAATCAGCTCAAGCTATTAGCGACAGAATGTCTCTAAGAAAATTACACAAAGAAAAGGTCTGTGCCAAAGAAACAGTAGTTCTGTCTTTCCCTGTGGAGAAACTTAAGGGACACTTGACTTGACCAGATTAATTTCTCCCCCCATCCTTTTGTGAAGCTCAAGCAAAACAAAACCATACAGAAGAGTACCGACTCTGTAATTCAGTCAAAAATGATGCACACCTCAATGAGGATCCCAGCGTGTACCTCTGCTACAGGGAGAGCTTCCCTGCCAGCTCAGCAGGGTTAATACCATTTAGTATCTGTCTTCTCAGAAGCAGGGCAATGTGCCTCACACACAGAGCTGGCAGGTGGAAGATGGTCCACACTGCCACAGGAACACGAGGCTGGTGCCGTGGAATCAGCACTTCAGAGCAGCGGGCTCGGCAGTGAGGGCACAGGCACCAGTTCCTTGTTCTGTATTACTCTTTCAAAGCCCACTCAGCCACTTGGTCTCTCTTTGCCTATGCAAAGGCTTATTCTGCCCTAAAAACAGGACAACACCCCCCCTTCCACACCCCTTAGCATGAGCCCAGTGATGCAAAAAACCAAAACAATGGAAAATGATAGGTCAGCAAAAATCCCACTTCACTCTACAATAAAAAGGAACAATGCAGCCCTTATTTTTCTTGAATCCTTCATTGTCTGGAATATTTCTTGCAATGTCTGACAATAGTTTCTCTTTTTCCTCAAAACTATTGAGCTTCCTTTCCCTCCCACAGAAGCATTCAACAGAACTCAAACACATCAGGAAGGACTGGGATGTCTCGTTAGTCTCCTACTAGGGTCTGCTGCATCTGGGGCCCTGCTTATCAGTTTGAAATTCTTTGTGTGTTTCCCCACTGTAAAAACCAAATCCTTTAAAGCTGTTTTATCAAAAGCAACACTCTTAGCTTCACCAAATAATAACAAAACAGCATATCAGTATAATGAAAGAAGGCAAATGCAATAAGAAAATTACCCAATTTCAGTCCAAAAAGTATGAACAATAACAAAATAATATTTTTTTTCAAACATCAAAATTGAATTGACATTGCCTTGTTAAATAAATACTCTGTGGACACTTACCAGTTCTTTTTTTAATCGGAACCCATTTGAAACAAACTTCAGCAAGAAAAGAATATACAGAAGACAGATTTACAGACAGATTCCTCATTCAAAAAAGTATGAACAATAACAAAATTATATTTTTTTTTCAAGCATCAAAATTGAATTGACATTGCCTTGTTAAATAAATACTCTGTGGACACTTACCAGTTCTTTTTTTAATCAGAACCCATTTGAAACAAACTTCAGCAAGAAAAGAATATACAGAAGACAGATTTACAGACAGATTCCTCAGGAGCTATCACAGGCTAAGCTGTTAGCATCTGGACTGTCTGGATATCTGGTTTTGGTCACTACTGAGATTTAGGGATTCCAGCCTAGTCTCCCACAGGCATGTGGCCAAATCACTCACACACTGGCAGTGTGCTCAGGAATGCAAAGAAACTGGAGTGCCAGAGGTCACACTGAAGCATCTCCTACACAACCTTACAATCCTAGAATCTTTAACTCCTTGCCTTCAGAAGTGGCACTGAAGTAGGCACTCAGCTGGCTGTTTGGAAGAACACCACATGTATTTTAAACTGTCCAACACAGAGCTGAACAATATACTTAATATTTCAAAGGCAATACAGTAGTTACAGGAAGTCATGAAGTGACTTCAATGCTGCAATGGGTGTTTGACCCATGACTATGATACACACCGCACAGAGCTGAACAATATACCTAATACTTCAAAGGCAATACAGTAGTTAAGGAAGTCATGAAGTGACTTCAATGCTGCAATGGGTGTTTGACCCATGACTATGATACACACCACCTGCAATTCCACAATAATTTCTCAGTTCCTTGGAATCCAAAAGGAAAAGGCAAAAATCCCTCAGGATCAAGAGGAACTATAGACCTAAGTGAAAAAAAAAACCTATGAAAAAAAGGTCTTGCCGTATATTCATTCAAGAAACAGATAAATTTTTATTAACCAGGCATTCATTCCATCTCAGCTTTCTTGTAGAGCACATATGGTGTCAGCTACACTAAAAGATGGAGGAGTTGCTGGCAGTTGCTAATGTATCATGACTTCAGCCAAATGAGTTACTGAAGTGACAGAAACTTTATTTCCATGAGTTGTCAAGAACATACTGTCAGTAGAGGCAAATTCAAGACTCCTGTGTTGAAATGGAAGCAAAGGAGCTTTGTATCCAACGTGGCAGAAGTAAAATTGCCCAAATTTTCTTACCTCCCATTCACTTGCAAGCTTCACAGGCACCTCTATGCCCCTCTTCTCCAGCTGTTCCAACTTGTAATCCTCATATTTTCTGTATCCTGCATATCCTCCACCTGTAGCTACCAGAACATGGAAGGGTCGCAGGCGGAAGACTTGTCCCACCGAAGCAGTGTGAAGCTTCTTCCTGTCTGTAACAGAAAAAATCCCAGACTTCAGGAAAGAGAACAGCTACACAGTAGGGAGAAAGCAATTCTGTGCAGTGAGGGGTATGAGCTTGGGTGATGAAAACGTGATTAGAAAATAAATCTGACACAGAAGGTATGTACAGATGCTCCTCAGTACTCCAGTTATTGCAGTTTACCAAGTTACTGTAACTCAACTGACCAACACTAATTGGTCATCCGTGGTTTTAACCTCATCCCTGTCCCTGCCACCCCACATGCTTCCAACATTCTTCACCCCAGAATATGTATGAACTGTGCTCCCTGAAAGCCCAGTGCAGAAACACATAGAATTAGTGTCTGACAGCACTATCACAGTTTCCAGCTTTGAGAACATTGGTACTATGTGCTCAATCATTTGCTGGGGAACAATCTGTACTACTGTGAAGCTTTGTGCTTCTCAGTCATTAAAGCTTTCACTACAGTTAGGGAATCCCCAGACTGTACAGCTAACTGAAGAGAGAAGGAAATGATGACTTGTTTCAGAGTATGTGGGGTAACAGGAAAACAGGCCCATTTCTGCTGTAATACAAGTCACCACGTGAAACAAAGAAATGTGTAGTATTAAACCAGTTTTTTACTGAGTAACTACCAAGCTCCTCCTGCCTAAGTCCAGCCTTGCAGTCACTGTGAGACACAAGGACACGGTGTGGTCACTAGGCAACAGACCACGGGGCAGGCACAGCCGTGGGAGTATTTCCCTTGCAAAATCTTCACAAAAAACAAATCTGTCCAGGGCTAAGTCAGTATTAGACTGTGCTGCTCGTGTCTGTCTGCCAGTCAGTCAGAAGTTCTCGGCAATGAGTAGGAGTCACTACCTGACAGAAAATGTTCAGAACCAATTCTTGATACTGATTGCTGTCATTTCCACAGCAGTCAGTAACTTGCATACACCAGAATCAAACCCAATGAACTTTAACCTGCTCCATCAAAGTCAGGCTTCTTAGGGCTTGACTCTGTAAGGATGCATTAGCAACCAAAAGAATTCAATCAACACCAACTCTATTTCTAAGCACACACAGAGACAAAGCACAATTGTTCTGAAGTCTGGAAAGCTTTAGTTCTAAGGAATTGAGTTGATTAGAAGCATTCAGCCATGATACTGCAAAAAGATGCCAAATAACAATAATTCTTGTCCACATTTTATTAAAATATTATTTCTTAATAATTTCTTTCCTACATTTGTGATTTAAAATATTGCTATATATCCTAAATGCATCAGCTTTGTTCCTCCTTAAAATAAAAAAAGAAAATTTCTTTTCTGGGGAGAAAACCAAACTCAAAAAACAAACAAGGCAGCAACTACAGTTATAGTTAAGATTCTAAAAATTATTCTTTCCTAAAGAACAATGCTCAGGGAAGGAGAGGGATCATTTAGAACAGCTGAATGTTTAAAAATACTTACTTGAATTTACAAAGACTCTACAACCTTTCAACTTTGCATCACTATTTCAACAGAAATGTCTGTACACAGACCAATGGTACTCTTTAGCCCCAAAGCCTTTAACTCCCTTCCACCACATCTTTGGTTCTAAGTTAGCAAAGCTGCTCAGCTATTTCAGCAATTTCACAAATTCCCAAACCAAAACCCCTCAGCAGGAACAGCTTTTTCTGGTTTGGATCCAGAGAGAGGCAGTTTCTGCTTCAAAAGCATTGATTGCACCCATGTGAACATTTCTCTTCCTGTAACAGTGACCAAACCCTGTGGTGTTCCACAAGCCACAGCAAACACAAGTTAAGTTGTTGATAAATGAAGAGTTGACTTTTCCCCATCTCCAGCATTAATGAAACAGCACTTCTGTAACTGGTCTCCAAAACATTATCATTGCAAAGGCATCCAACATGCCACTGTCGAGCTTTTTTGCCCTGACAAAACAAAATTCCACACCTTTCTCACACAAGTGGAATTCACACAAGCGTACAAATTCTAAGACAAGAACACTAGTTACTGATTCTGGCAAGAGACCCAGGTTTAGGCTGGCACTGCTGAGATTTCAGCTGAACATCATGTTCTCCAGTGATGCTACTGCTGCTCCCTGGAAAGCAGCATGAGAGTGTGTGGAGAGCTCACACCTTGGTACAAGAGCCACCAGAAACAAGGCCAGGGCAAGAGGAAAAAGATGCAGGACTGTCAATGTACTAATAACAGTTTTAGATCCTACCCTAAATCTGAAGCTCTCACAGATAAAGCCAACTTCTTCCAGAATTCTGTCAAACACTGAGTATATTCAGCAGAGAATAAAAATTAGTAACAATTTTCTTCTCTGGAACAGGTGAAAAAGACACATTCCCTCCGAAATGCTGGAAAATTCAGGATGAGAAAGGAAACTGAATAATGGCAGGAGTTTATGCAGATGCATAACTGCTGCTAGTTTATCCAGATGCATAAATGTTAGATGCAGTAACACAAATGCTGCTTCATTACTCTGACCAAATTCAGAATTTCTTCCAGGACATGACACAAACACTTAGAGGAGGCCATTATATGGGATAGAGATAAAATTAGAGAAGAGTTATCTTTCCTTTAAATCCAAATCAGACTCCAAACTATCAATGAATTGGAAAATGTCAGGCTAAAAAATTGACTTGTTCAAAACTCAAAGCTAATTTTGACTAAAATGACCTTTTCTTCCTTGTGATCAACAACTTTGCATTATGTCTCAACTTCCTTTTTTTTTTTTCCTGTAATGACTTTGATTTTAACTTTGCATTATTTCTCAACTTCCATTTTTTTTTTCCTGTAATAACTTTGATTTATAGACAACAAAGAGCTGCTGTTTCTATTCATCTGTATAAGCATGTTTTTCAATAATGAAATATCCATATATGATATGCCAGACAAAGCACTTGGACAGGCAAGTTAACCCAAATAAATGGTTTTGGAAAATGGGACCAATAGCTCAGCTGGCAAGGAAATCAAAATTGAAGACAACTATTTGTGATACTAATATCTGGCAATGCACATGCTACAAGTTTCCAAATATTCCTTAAAAACAAACAATAATATTTGATCTTTACAGCATTACCCAGCTACAGAAACATCAAGTGCAAGTACCATTTTAACCAAGTCCTAAACATTTCATGTAAACCTACTCTGATTTCCTGATCTATTAAAATTATAAGTACAGATTGCAATATAAAAGGATATTTATACCTTTTCTTTCTTATAGGGCTGTTAAACTACTGAAATCTGAATCTCTCAGACTTCTGAAGGTGAACACCTGGTAAGAGCAGCACTGCAAAGCAGGTAATACAGTTGAATATTATAAATATGCATAAGTTTGATGTTGCCCTTCCCAGTCAGTCGCTTCAGTAGGTGTGGAAAGTACACAAATTACTGCTCATCAAGTTCAATTAAGTGGGTTTTAAAATGTAAAAACACTGTCCTAACATGAATCTTTCTGGTAAATTATGCTATGTTTTTTTAAAAAAATGTTTGAACTCTACACTCCTAAGAAAACTAACTAAAGTGCAGGAATTAATTAAGAAAAATAAACCTATGACTAATGGGTTTTAATTTGCTATGCAGGAATCATCTGCACTAGAAAAGGTTTCAGATGCTTTGTAAAGTTTGAAAGCAACAAACAACAACAGCTCATAATGAGTCTTATGAAAAAGGTAAAAATACTTCTTTTATTATGTGGAAAACACAGTTTGCAAGCTTGTGTCTACGAAAATGCCATTAATTGGTCTTTGATGCTGGACTCCCACTCATTTCCAAAAATTTACCTTCCCCAATATGAGACCACAATTTGCCTGACTGTGAGTGACCCTGAATTTAAAACCACTTGTAGCTACAACCCATCACTTACCACTGAAAAATGTCCTTGAAGGAGGCTGCTTCCACAGGACTCCAGCTCTAACACACAGGTTCTTATGCACCAACAAGTTACAGCTGAACAGCAAGCTGCAAATACAACAAACAAGAAGTGGCTGCTTAAATACAAATGTTTAATAATGCAAATGTCAGCAGTTCAGTGCAGTGACCATCTAATATTTAGCAGCTGAGTAACAGAGGGAAAAGTCTACTCACATTATAATAAAATTTCCACTGAGCCTAGTCCCTTGTGGTCTACTCCTTTCCTTAAAAAAATTGAAAAATCCAACAATCCAACTGCTCCTGCAGGTATTTATTTAATGATGCATCTTTATATTTTCTTTTTCTTAAGAAATATTGACATGTTCCTCTTGGGCTGCTGTAACAGTGATACTTTTCTAATATTGTAGATCCTAATCTTGCCAATAGCCCTTTTGCAAACAACTATTTATGTTACCAGCATGTACTGTATCTTGGCCTGTTTGGAGCTCTGAAATGCAAATGGAGTGGTAAATTCTATAATTATTGTTTAGTACTTGGGATTATTCCATTTCCACCGAGCTGCTACAACTTTGTCAATTAAGAACCTCCTACAACAGCAACTGTCTAGAGAGACATTTAGGATTTGGTTCATGTAGCTTTTACTTTACCATGCTGGTGGGAAGGAGGAAGAGTGCATAGAGAAGTTTTGCATTCCATGAAGAAGTAATGGCATTTATTAGACCAAGTGGTGCAGCTGAAAAAGTAAAAAGGCTGCCAGGCGTAGCAGCTCTTCTTTAGAATTTACCTTACCACTCTGTTCACTGGTGAACTCCAAGTGAGAGTCATTCTGCCCCTCTGAAAATACATAAAATAGACTTGGGACTGGCCAATATAGAGAAAGGGTTCACCAAGGACTTTTTGTGTGTTTAATACATAACGTTTAATTTCATGTTCATAATGAATTTGACAAGAAGACATCCAGTTGTACAAGAACTGTTCCAAGCACATTTAAACAAGTATTTGACTGTAGCCTGGCAACACCCTGCTGTCAGACCGGATCACAGGGAAGAGAGGGGCAGTGTTCTCACCCCAACAGGCTCAGACCCTTAGGAAGAACCAGATCTTTGTGCAACCTGCTCATTCTCAGGAGGCAATGCCACAGCTGGGATGTCTTCATCTGCCCTCTGGCCTTTCATCTGCTCTTGATCAGATATGTGGAAGACACAATTACTTCAGTAGCTTACAAGCTATTGCATCATTTGGGGCCATTCAATCTCAGGAAGTAATTATTAAGAATTTAAAGACTTAATTTCAGGTGTCTACTGAGTTACATATACGCACCATCCCTTTATTTTAAAGAAGAATCTACAGATTTCTTGTCTAGAAGTCACATCATTATATCAGCACACTTGGTAACAACTGTGCTTTAACATTAGCCAAGGACCAAGAGCTAAAGTCTTCTCTTATCCCTATTGCAACAGTGTCACAGTATCTCACCGTGCCCTTCAGCTTCATGGTCTCTGCTAAAATCCCTGCATTAACCCAAACGTGACAGGACAGACCCTCCCCAAGCCCCAGGTTCCTGTAACCACGTGCTAAACATGCCCCACTGCTGCATCATCTCCCAGGATGTTATTTCCTTGGCAAGCCAGAAAAAGTGTTCCCACTGCTGCAGAACCTGTATGTTCTACAGAGCAACACGTCGTGATTTGTCATGAACAACCAGGTCACCTGATGCTCTTGGGTCACACCAGGCCTACACTAATTTGTGGACTTACGAGGCCTGTTTTACAACATATTAAAACACTTGGGATAAAAGGAGCACTTGCTCATCAGAAAGCTGGGAGCCTGTGGGCTACTTCTAAGAGATTCAAGAAATAAAGAACTAATCAAATTAGCATTAGACTTAAATTTAGCAGAAGAGTTTTCAAATCCTGAAAAGTAATGGAAAGCATTATTAAAACTTAACTGCAGCCTAAAGCATGAGTATTTGAGACATTTATTAGCCTTCCAACATAATATCTATACAAAAATGCAGTCAGAACAGAATGAGTTGTGTTGGCTTCACAGGAGCATCCAGGAGCTGTTCCCACTGCTGAGGCAGGGCAGGGCACCTGGGACTTGGTACTTCCTCAGACAGTGGAAGGACACAACACCTAACCCTAAGCTCTTACCAAAATTGCTTTTGCTGTCCAACACTAAAAAATCAATTTCCATCTTACTCTGAAATCTGCCTAAAAACAGGCAAAGACAACAAAACTAAACAGTCCCATCTTCCCTGCTCCTGACAGCCTGACCTTGGTGGGTACAAATGCATGTTGGAGTATTGACCCCCTGCCTCTCCCACCCGACTGGAGACTGATGGAGAAGGCACAGCCAAGGAATTCCATGTTAACTGCAGCCCTTCTGTGTCTTCAGCCATCTCTGGACGAGGGACAACACTCTGCTGAGTGTCCTCTGCTGAGGACAACACTGAGGGCAGAGGTAAGAGAACAGAACACTCTGTGCACAAGGTGTTTTCTCCAGGTTTTGAGAGAGAGGGTGGAATAAGGGGACTGTATGTTCTATCCAAGAGCAGGGAACTGTGGCCGAGAAACAGCATTCCTTAAGCTGTCTGGTTGCTATGAAAAGCACAACCCGTAAGAGGATATCTCCTGCAGAGGAGTATCAGTGCCCGGCCAGGTGCTTCTCCTCACAGCCATGGCCCCGCACTGCATAACCCGAGGGGCTGCAGCTGCTCCCCATCTACCGACTGCTGCTCAGCACCTACACACTGACAGCCAGACTGCAAAACCGAGTCACAACTACACAAGGCCACAAGCTTCTCATTCTTAAAATACTTAACGCCCTTATCGTCCTTTCCAGCTTGGAGAAGGACGGCAAGGCTCCTTACACATGCCAAGGGCAGGGCCAAGGCTGCAGAGACAACCGCACTCACCCCGGTAGGGAAACGTCAGCGAACGAGGGGGGCGAGAAGGGGGCGGCTGCGGCCCCCGGCCCGGCTCCTCCTCCCCCGCGGGGTGCCGGCTGTCAGACAGGGCTGCCGAGACCAGACAAGGACAGTGACAGTGACAGCCCCAGCCCCGCCGTGCCCGTACCTGCTCCGCGCCGCGAAGGGGGCGGCTGCGGCCCCCGGCCCGGCTCCTCCTCCCCCGCGGGGTGCCGGCTGTCAGACAGAGCTGCCGAGGCCAGACAAGGACAGTGACAGCGACAATGACAGCCCCAGCCCCGCCGTGCCCGTACCTGCTCCGCGCCGCGACCGCCGCCATCTTCCCACGCCGCCGCCGCGTCCTCTGCCGCGTCCCGCGCGGGAGGGCGGGAACAGCGCGGGGGGCGGGGCCAGGGGCGGGGCTGCGGCCGTGAGGGGGGCGGGCGCTGCCGGGCATGGCGAGTGTGAGGGCGTTTATTCCTGAGGGATACGGTGTGTAGGGAGGGGTTTATTCCTGTGGGGAGACCCGGAATAGGGATACGGGTGTGAGGCTGTTCTTCACAAGGGGGGGGTTTGATCTGTGAGGAGGGCTGTTCTCTTGGTGCGGGGGAAAAAGGGGCCGTCGCTGAGGCGATGTGGAGTGGGGATAGGGCCGGCCCTGAGGGGAGGGGATGTGGGGACATTTTCCAGGGGAGGTAGAGTGGCGACAGGGTGGTGGCTCCTGAGGGTTTGTGCTATGGGGATGGAGCTGCCCCACGAAGGGCTTGTGGGCTGTGCCCAGCGGAGGAGGCCGCTGCTGCCGGGAGTGCAGGATGAGGCAGGTGGGGTTCAGCTGCCTTTCCGCGCTGCTGTTGACACTCAGGTAAATTATTTGCCCCGGCTATGGGACCAGCAGGAATATTAAGGCAGGGATTTTAGGGAGATGACACGCGGCATGAGACAAACACGATGCTGTTCCTCCAAGTGAGGTGTCTGGTGGGGTAGTGCAGTAACACCTGTTCCTACTCTGGGGTCCGTTGCCTGGCTGCCTGTTGCCCACAGTGAATTTTATAGAGGTTATTTGGTTTTCCACTCTCTTATATGCATCCCTAGATGAATAAATGCTTCACTGCTGGGACGTAGCTAATTACCTTTCTCTGACGGTGGCAGAGAGGTAGTTTCATATGGTGAATCAGTAGGAAAAGAATTCAAAAGTCCTGGCTGTGTTTCCACATCCTCAGTGCTCTAGGACATGGTCCTCAGGCAAGCTGATTAATTTAATTTAAATTCCTGAATTATGTTTGTATTTTTTCCTGACCAGGCCTAAATGAAGTCTACAACACCTTCATGTGGTTCTGCCTTTTTTTTCACATCACCATAGGTAGTAGTATCTGTATAAGTATCTTAAACATGTACAGGAAAGCCTTTCATGTGCAATTTGAGGGGAAATCCAGATACAGACCTCATGAAACAGTAATATTAGTAACTGACTGAATTGTTGGGATTTACATAACCTGTACATAATGGTAAGATTGGCAGGAAGTTAAAGATGGTGGGATTTGATGCTGTTAGGTGCTTTGGTACAAGCCTTGCAAGAAGCATTAGCTTTGATGTGTCAGAGCACCCCACGGATGGGCCTGACAGACAAGTTTCCCCAGAATTGACTGAGAAGTGATTCAGAGGTTAAGGTGCAGCTAAGTGTAACGTACTTGTTTACAGTGTAAAATAATTACAAGGCTAAACTGATTAATAATCTGTCCTGATCTAATCTTTCTCCTTGAAATTAAAAGTAAATATTTGGACATGTAACTATTTTAAAATTACTTTTATCATGTGTCTTATTATTAAATTTGTGGGCTTTTTTAACACCTGGTAAGATTATATAGACTGCAGTCAGGGAGGGATAGAACTTATTTCCCTAAGGGTACTGAGGTGTGCTAGGCCTGTGCAGCTGAGCCGAGTCAAAGAGGGGATTAGTGCCACAGCTCCTCCAACAAATGAGAGACTGGAGATCTTGGGGCTTGAGAATGTTTGTTCAGGTGATGCCTTAAGTTTTAGCTTTCATATTTTCCAGATTCTGTACTGCCATAGTGTGTAACTCTGAATTTCGTATAAAGTGTTAGCAAGTTCTCTTCACAGTTTAGTCAGACAAAACAATCCTGTCCAGCCTGAGAACCAAAGATACCATTGCAGCTTCAGGCCCAAAAAGTATAAAGAATTGAGAATTGAGGAGAGCAGTCTAGGAGGATGGGACTTCATAGCCTGAAACTGTAATTGCACAATTAACCCCAATATGTAAATGGACTAAGGCTTATAAAAGTGTGAAAATTCGTGACTGGTTGTCCATCTTGGGTCTGTCTTCGGTAGAGCCACGGCCAGGCGCTTGTACTGGCCAGGGTGTATCCTTTGAAGGCCTTTAATAAATACCTACTTCATTCCTTTAACTCTGTCAAGCCTCTGCTGCAGGTAGTGCAGGAAGAAATGAGGAATGCCTCAGGCTGGATGGGGCTTGGAGCAACCTGATTTAGTGGAAGGTGTCCCTGCCCTTGGCAGGGGGGTGGAACAGGATGAGCTTTAAGGTCCCTTCCAACCCAAACCATCCTGTGGTTCTGTGTTACTCCTTCTGTAATCAGATCAGTGGGAAACAATGCCTCAACAAATGTTGCAGGTCTAGAGAGGGAACTTGTGAAACTCAAGAGATGTGCAATACATGAGTGTGAAAGAAACAAGTGGGGAATGATGACTGAAGCACTAGGGAAGGCAACAAAAGAAATCTGGGAAATGTATCTGCAAAAATACATGAGGTAGACAAAGCACCAGGGAGATCTGTAAGGTGAAGAAGGAAAAGTAGGATAAAGATACTATTTCTCCAGAACTCTGGGAACAGTTAATTCTTTCCAGAACAGAAAAGATTAAACCATATTAACAATATTTTATGCATCATCAGACACTTCTGCTTATATATAATACATAAGTAAATATATTTTTTCTCTCATATATAAGATATAAATAAATGTATTTTTTTTCTGCTATAGAATTAATGATGTTAATAGCTGCTGTAGAGTAATTAAGAGGTAATAATACTTCAGGTTAAGTATTAGAAAATAGGAGAATAAAGCAGTTTGGATGAGATAGCTGGGCTGGAATGGAATGAAGAGAATCAAGACAGTTAAAGTGTCCCAGCTCTGTTCTGAATTCTTAGGGAGGCATAGGATTACTTTTTGTTTAAAATTACTCAGTAGATAAACCATTATCAGGTGAAAAAAACAAGGTAAGAGGCACCCTTCAGTATTCTGCAGAGAGATATGGTGAGTAGTTTGCTTTAGGTATCTTTTTTGTAAGTTAGGTGTAATTCTTGCCTGTCTCCCAAAGGCTTTGTGTGCCTTTTGAAACAGCAGAAGTACTATTTCTTTTTAAAGCAGAGGCGTACATTTCTTTCTATGTCTGATAAAAATAGAGCAGAAAATGCATGGATATTATCTGTCTGCAGGTAGGAAAGGGACACTGTCCCTTTCTCCTTTGCATACAAGGATATACCATCCTCTGACTGTTTTCTTAAATCTTGGTTTATCCTCGTTGATGTCTAAACCCCCCCTTCTTATCTTCCAGAAGCTTTTGGTCATCACTGTGGAATTCCTGGTATGAGGAGGCAGAGCTTCAGGGTAGAGAGAAGATCCTTGCTGAACAGCTGTAATGATGAAGACAGTGATTTTAATTGTCCTAATCACCTTCTCTTTGCTGGCTTCAGGTAAGGCTGATGCAGAGAGGGAGAGAGAGGTTGCCTCTGGGTGGGTGACATTCAACTAATATATGCTTTGGTTTTGTTTTCCTCTGTGCAAAGAAAGGCGTTGCAGTTAAAGCTGTGCCTGTATTTTTTCTATTTGATCATTGGCAGATGGTGACCTTTTAGTTTTGAAGCAGCTTGATACACAACTTCCTTAGTAATTCAGTGAGGCTTTGTTTCCTGTGAATGGTTGAGATCTGCGTACGCGTTAGCAGTGTCAGAATGAAGCAGGGGACCTCCAGCTGCTCCCCTCTAAAACCACTATGGATTCTTCTAGGAATTGTGCTGAATTAACACCAAAACAAGTGGAGGACTGATGTCTGATGCTATGCTCAAAGAAATAAAAACTTCAATGATTTAATTGTGCACATTGCTAGTATTAATAGTTCTCCAGAGAGTCAAATACTTAAACATCTGGAAGTGACAATTTTAGAGATATTGTGGCATTTTCTGTGCTTTCAGTCCTGGTTTTCATTACATGGCTTAAGATTCTCTCGAGTTACATAACTGCATGCTATTTTTGTGTACAACAATCACTTTTTTCCTCCTTAAATGTCTAGTATCTTCTTGGAGATGCAATGATGATATATTTCAGAGCAATAATACAAGATGGAGTAATTGCAGCCTAAAGCAAAAGAGGAAATTTTGTTGGCATGTCTGGATTCCTGTAAGATGTAGCTTTATAGTTGGTTTAAACCCACTGAACCTGCAAGTCCTTCTGAAAAAGGAAGTTTCACCTTCACCTCCACCCTTAATTGCATCTTTTTGGCGTGTTGAAGCACCAGAGGAAACAGCAGAGCAAAGGTTAAAATAATGGCCTGTATTGATAACCAAGGACAGCAGTAAAACTGATAAACCCCAGAGAATGCATGTTTGCATCAAGGTTGGAAGGTCTGTGCTCTGATAGAGTCACATCCCAGTTGACTTGTTAGGAGAAAATCTGCACTCTGGTAACAGGAAGATGGTTGCCCTACGTTGTAAGTGCCATTCCTTCTCTTGCGATCCCAACAGGAGAACAGGGGCCATAGCCATAAACCCATCCTTACCTTTGCTTCCTCCTAATTTTGGGTGGAAGCCTTACCTAAGATTCACTAAGGTTGAAGCAAGGGAGACTCTGTGGCAGAAGATTCTGCCATAGTAATTGCTGATTCTTGGAAAATCTGCCTAAAACTATTTGGTTGCTTTCAGTCAAAAGGAAGCAAAGAGACATATTAAAGATTCAGCATAAAAAATGTTATCCTCATGCTGGGCAAAAGTGACCTTGGTCACATGTGGGCAGATCTCTTGGGTGCCTCTAAGTTTGTGGGTATGTGAGTGTGACTGACCACAATCGAGCTATTGGGAAGTTAAATAAAATAGAATAACCTCTCTCTTCCATAAGGTGTTAAACTGAGGGTTTTTAATGAAATCCTACAAATCTTGACTTCTTTTTTGACCCTGTAGGGAAGAAATTCCGATGGTGCACCCTTTCTGACCTGGAACAAAGAAAGTGTGCTGAGCTCTCCAAAGCTCTTACAGCTGTGCTGCCCCTCACTACTGCTGCCAGTTCTTTTACTAGGATTTCTTGTATCAGAGCCCACAATACCTATGACTGCATTGATAAAATCAGGGTGAGTTCGCAGAGGCTTTAAAAAGTCATTTTGTGTCCAAATCCTCTTGGAAAAGTAACTGATAAACAAAAACTATGGGAAAATAAAATGATACTGAAATAACTGAACTGCTTATATACCAACATATATGCTTATATGACACAGTAACTTGAGAGGCAAGAATTAAATCCTGTGAGCATCCTACCAGATGTACTGTTTTACCCCAGCTAATTCTTTGCAATCTCCAATAAATAGTGAAAGCTGCTTGGAAATAAATAGACAAAAGCAAACTACTAAATTAAAATTTGTTCAAGCAGAAACTATGATCTTGAACCTTCTGTTTGTTTCCTTGTAAACACACTTGTTTTGAGGGTTTTGGTGTTGTTTTGAAGGCAAATAAAGCAGATGCTGCCTCCTTGGATGCTGGAGATGTTTACTCTGCTGTAAAGCTGTACGGTTTGGCAGTGGTGGCAAAAGAGATCTATGATCAAGGTAGGCTGGTAAAGCTGAAGAATAAACTGTACTTCTGGTTTGGCTAAGAAATGGCTTTAGATTTCTTGGGGGGAAAAAAGCCAATATGTTTTTATTAACTTTGTAGGAATATGGATGTGGCTAACAATTGTTTCTAAAATACTTAATGTTGATGAATAAAATACTAGTGGTGCTTTGTACCCACAGCCTTTTGCCTGTGGTACTGACAAACTTGCATTGTTTGTTTGACAAGGTGCCATGTAGCCAATATATGGTGAAGTTCCTAGCACAAGTACCTACATTGAGTAGGCCTAAGATAATTTGTTCTTTAGCTATGTTCACTGAAGTAGTTCAGCTTCTCTTCAGAGATGGAAGCTATAGAATTGAGATTTTTTTTTCCTGTTACACATTTTGTGCTATTGCAGGAAATTGTGTGTTTGCTGTGGCCATTGCCAAACGAGGAACTCTGGATATGCAGAGTCTGCGAGGTGTGCGCAGCTGTCACAATGGAGCCAGGTGGACATCGGGCTGGAATATTCCACTTGGCTTTCTCCTTGCAAGAAATTATCTTTCCTGGGATGAGGCCCAACCTCTGAGCCAAGGTAGGTGATATGAGCCATAGGGCTACCTCTGGCCATAGCAGATGTAACTGAAATGCCAGCAGATGTAGGATGAACTAGTTATGGCCATGATATGTTTGGCCCCTTTTCCTCTTCTGATTTTTTTTTCCCATTTGACTTTTTTCTTTGTTTTGTTTTGGTTTTTTTTCCCTACACCTGCAGCAATTAGTGAGTATTTCAATGCAAGCTGCATCCCTGGGGTTGGTGTTGCTGCTCCCCGATTGTGTGCTCTCTGCCAAGGTCAAAAATCCTATGTCAGAGACAGAAACCACTTCTGTGAGACAAGCAGTAATGAACCCTTCTATGACTCTGAGGGAGCCTTCAGGTGAGCTCTGGGACACTGGGCCTGAATTGGCTTTTGGGGGAAAAAGAACTTTTAAGGACTTTTAATCTTTTAAGCCAGGTGAAATGGTAATAGGATGGCATTTGTCTTGCTGCAGGTGCTTGAAGGATGGAGTGGCAGATGTTGCCTTTTTGGATCATCTAAGAATTATGAGTGCCACAGGTAATCTTAAGAATGCGGTTTTCTTTTAATCTCTGGCTGTGCTCTTTCCTGTGTGGATGTTTGAGGGATACGCCTATATTTTTGTTGTTTCCAGGGAAAATTCAGGGTATTTCTTGGCTCTCCACACAACTCAGAAAGAAACAGAACAGGAAAGTGTGAGTGAGCAATGATTGCTCACAGGAAACTCTTAAAATGGGAGCAGACAGGTGATTTCATTAGCTGTCAGTATTTTATTTGCCCAAATTACAAGATTCCTTTTAAAATTCAGCATATTGAGCTGCATAACTGTGAAGTTGCTGTACACCTACCTTGTACTTTTAAACTCAGTTGAGCTCTGTGCCAAAGGTGGTTAGCAGTAGTATTTGCAGGTTAAGTATTTTTAAATAAACATATTTACAGTGGTACAGCTTAAAGAGCATTTTGGAGCAGCTCTGGCTGAGGTCCCTCTCTTTGTTATAAGAAATACTTACCGAGGATGACTTTCCCAAGTGTGCTTGGTACACTGTGCTGCCTGCATAACCTTTAGCAACCTGCACTGAAAAACATTTTATATTCCATCTCCATGCCTGCTGGGAAGTCATGGCTCTGGTCACAGACTGATGAGTGTCTCCTTGTTTCAGAGTCAGAACAACAGGAATATGAACTCTTGTGTCCTGATGGGTCCACAGCTGAGCTGACTGAATACAGCACCTGTAACCTGGGCAAGGGGCCTGGCCGCGGCATCGTCACCCGCAACAACTTCCAGAAGGTCACCAACAAATTTCTTAGCATGATCCAGGTGAGTGAATATTATGAGCTGTCTGTGTCCAGACACAGTTTTTTCTTTTGTCTTTGTGTGGCAGTCGTGATCCAGGTTGCCTTTTGTCTTGAGAAATTTATAGTTAGTGTGAATAAAGTGCTAAAAATTATTTGTTCGGGGGAAGGATCTTGCATTGGCTTGTGTAAAGTTTTGCTTTTTCCTAAAATGTTCTTCTGTAGGAGGCTGAGAATAAAACAGTAAAGAAGGGGAAGATGCCATAACACACAAACTGGAAAATGGCTAATGATGTTCATCCTGCCGTGGAACTTGAATCAATTTTTATGTAGCTGAGGGAGACTCATAGGTTCAGGCAGGGCTCACTTTTCTTCATCTCTTTTTCTAAATTTATAAATATTTGATATCTTGACCACTGATACAAAGGGAGGGAATGTTGAGGCTGCGTGTTGCTGGAAGAATGAGCAGATTTGTTGAAATTTAAAAGTGTTGTTCTTGTCCTAGCGCCTCTTTGGGCATAAAGGAAAGGAAAGAGCCAGATTTGAACTCTTCAGTTCAGCACCATTTGGGGGAAAGAACCTGCTGTTCCAAGATGCCACTCAGCACCTGCAGCTTCTGGAGGAGCAGCTGGAGATTGCCTATGTCCTTGGTCTGGATTATGTAGCTCTCCTTAAGGGACTCGGCCATGAAGGTGAGAACCATTCCAGAGGACTGTAGCTAAGGAAAGGGAAGAGAAAGTTCTCCTTCCACATTATTCCTCCCTCCAGGCACAAATGCATTTACCTGAAAATCCCCCTAACATATCACAGATTGCTGCACTGGTGACGTGATCTGCTTCCATTTCAGGGAGCTCTTTGGACAACAGCATTGTGCGCTGGTGCTGCATCAGTGATGCTGAGCTTCGCAAATGTGAGGAGTGGGCCCTGAACATCAAATCCGACCCGTTGGTCTGTGTCCAAGCAACTTCCATGACCAAATGCATTGAAATGATCAAGGTAGGAGACTCCTTCTGCTCAGGGCGTAAGACTGCACAGGGTATGTATGTCTTGTCTGAACTAAAGAGAGGAAACTAGCTTGAGGAATAAGTGGGAATGAGAGGGAATTTATGCAGGGGAATTTCCAGCCAGTGGAGAAGTCCTGCTGCTTGGATACTCAATTCATGCAAATCCTGTTTTTGTTATTTTCTCTAATGCTGCTGGCAGAGTAGTGAGGCTGATGCGGTCACCCTGGACGCAACACACGTGTACATTGCAGGGAGATGTGGGCTGGTGCCGGTAGCTGCAGAATGCTATGGTGAGTTCTCATGTGACCTTATCAAGAAGAGAGGGAATCAAAAGTACTGTTAAGAATATAGTTAAATTTCTACAGTTTGTGATGTTTTGTGAGGGAAGCAGGAGTCAGCATAAATGCCCAAATACTCCTCCCAGCTCTTCTGCTAACTGGCTCTAGCATTTGGTCTGTTTATTTTATCCCTTCTGTTAAAAGGACAAAGATGCTGACATGGCTGAAGAGGATCACAAGGGTTTTGAAGGAATATTGCCATGTAAAAGGAATGACAGCAGTTGCAAGATCCTTAATGTTTATTTCTCCTTCCAGGGAGAGATTGTGCCCCAGCAGCTGAGACCATGGAGAAAACAGGGAAACTAATTAATCTTAAGCACAAAGGTAACAGAAACTTTCTAGGGTTTATGCAGGAATTTATTTGCCTGTCGGTTTAGGAAAGAATTTTCTGTGTAAGGACAAGAACTTCGTGGCTAAGCAAAGAGTGTAGGTCCTGTACTGTAACTGAAGATACTGTGACAAGATGAGGGAGGGAAGGGGGGCTGTACCCTTCTGGAATACTTAATTGCCTTGGTATAACTGGTTGTTGTCATTGTTTCACAGCACTACCACCAGTTTATGCTGTTGCCCTAGCTAAGAAAAGTGCCAAACAGATTCACATCCATAACCTGAGGGGAAGGCGATCCTGCCACAGTCACCTGTACAGTCCTGGAGGATGGTTACTTCTGTCCAGACACACAGTGGGAGCTCAGCAGAACAATACTGAGAACTGTGATATTGCCTCTGGTAAGGGCTGCCTCTGGGTTCTCTCTTAAGTAGACCATGAAAATCTGAAGCTTAAATTTTTGAATAAAACAGAAAGGGGGCCATGAGGATCCAACCAGGAACTGATGACTACAGTTTCAAAGGGTGTTGAAGCAGCTTTTCCTCCTGTTTAACTGTGTCACACTATTTAGCCGCTGTCTTGCTAGTTGTTAGGATGAAATTTCTTTCCTGTCTTTTCCCATATGTGAAGAAGCTTGGGAATACCTTGCCTTAATCTCATCTCAGTTTTCTTTACTCAGCTTATCAGAATTACTTTTGGAAGGGCTGCATGCCAGGAGCAGATGGGAACCTGTGCAAGGTGTGCATTGGAGATGGTGAGGTGGAAGGAGCTCGAGTGTCCAGCAGATGTGCTGCAAGTCACAACGAGCGTTACTATGGCAATATGGGAGCACTCAGGTGAGCTTTTTGTGAGAGTCAGAAATGCAGAGCAACAGCCAGAATTGCCTTATTATTTTGCTGATTTTGGTGGTTTTTGGAAGTTTTTTTTTCCTCTATTTGTTAAGCCTCTGTCTGTATAAACTTTTGCTAGTGTATATTTTTTTTGGTTGCAGTTGCTATGGGATGTTCAGCTGACTGATGGTTTAAAATGGTCATTAAACCATTTCCAGAGCAAGGCAATGCTTCCAAACATGTATGGCTCAGAGCATTGGTACTGACTCATTAAAGGGAAGGGATGCAAGAAGAGCAGAGGGCAGAGGTGCTCTGGTAAGAAGCAGTGTAGCATACAGGAGGTGATTAAATAGAGAAATAGAGTGTAGATTAAAAAAAAATAGTTGAAGACAGAGAAAGAGAAGACTATTAAAGATGAAACTTTTATGAAAGTTTATGAAAGCACTCTTATGAAATGTACATAATGTATTTAGTTGAATTCCACTCTCTTTCCTGCCGAGGCATGGGTGAAGGTGCACGTTGTGCAGCAGCTTTGACTTGGAAGCTGCTGTAAGGAATGAAAGGATTGTCTTAGCAAATCTCTATGGTGAGATCACTGACATACTCCAAGGGATTAGAGATGGGAGGGATACTTCCAGCTACTCCAATTTTAGCTTCAGATGACTGTTCAAATGTCAGTCACCATGTAGTGCTGTCTTTTATCTCTTTTTTTTTTTTTCTTGTACTAGGTGCCTAGTTGGCAATCCCAGTGGAAGAAGCTTTGGAGATGTAGCTTTCCTGGAACACTCAAACCTGCTCCAGAACATAGAGGGTAAGATGCAGATATTCTCTTTCCTTTGATAATGTTCATTAATGTCAGTTACTTCCCATAAAGCAGCCATCACTCATGAGGATCAGCCTTTGCAGGTTTAATCTAGGTCCATGAAGTTGTGTTTGTAAATGGAAGATTGCTAGAAGCTTTCTGCATGTAGGTGTTCCAGTAAAGCTCAACATACAGATACTGTAAGAGAGGAAAGAATCACTCAGTGCAAAGATGTGTGTTGGAATAATCATCCTTGGAGACTGCACTAAATTTCTGGAAGCTTTAAATTTCACAGCTTTAAAAGGCAAACCAAAATATGTTTTTCTTAGAGTCAAGGAGAAAAGAAACCCTCATGAAAGCAAAATAAAATTCTATTTTAGGCAATTTCAGTAAGAGAAGAGATTTTTCTGAGAGAGGAATCTCTCTAAAATCAAATTAAGATATAAGGGGCTGGAAACCCACAGGAATTCCTGCAGCAATTAGCACTTTGTTTGGGGAAGCAAAGGGCATGTGGGCCAAATCCCTTTGTTTCCAGAAAGGGATGTGGTTACAGATGCAGATGAGGCATATGCTGTTCATATGCCTTGATCTGATTCTACTTTAGTTGATAGGTGCAGCTTAAGTTCACTGACCTCAGTGAAGACACTACCCTGGTCCTTATGATTTTCCTAAGAAATGACCACATAGCACGCTGTTTGTTTTGAACACATTGACTAAACTCCCTCTCAAGTTTTAACATTTTATTTGAGATTCACCCTCTCTTCTGCTTTGCTTTTTTGAAAGGATTACCTTTCATTTTCTTTTCAGATCTGGGCAGCTCTGGTTGGGCAAAAGGTTATAGCCCCCTTGACTTTGAACTCTTGTGTCCGGATGGAACACGCGCCGCAGTCACAGAATGGGCAGGCTGTAACCTTGGCCCCATTCCCCCCAGCACAGTCATGACTCGACCAGTCACTGTCACTAAAATCTCTGACTTCCTACTGAAATCTCAGGTGTGACAGGTAACAGGGAATAGCTTGGCATGTTACTATTTGTTATGTACAACTGCTGAAAACCCTTTCAAGATGAAAAGCTTTATATAGTAGTGCCTTCAGATCCAATACAGAAGAATGAAAAATGTGCATAGGAGATTGAGAAAATAGTTATTTGGATTCTCTTAAGGGGTATTTTGGCACCAGTTCCCATTCTACAGAGGCTATACTTTTGCTGAGAAATAAGGCACTGCAAAAGTGCATTGTTTTGTACTAATATGAAGAGTGCTAGATAAAAGTATTATTAATGACCCAAGCTGTGAAACTTTTATTCCTTTTCTGTTCAGGAATCTCTGGGAAGCAAATTGGATTCTGAATTCCAACTCTTTCAGTCATGGAAGTATGGTGAAAGTGATCTGCTTTTCAAAGACACCACTCAGCACCTTGTTCATGCAAGTCAAATGAGCTATCAGGAGATCCTTGGAGAGTCTTTCCTTCAGCTGGCAGAATCAGTGTTTAATTGCACTCCTGCAGGTAAAGTCAAGTTCTTAATTCAGATTTAGAGAGAAGTGCAGCAGGCAGCCTTCTGTGCACAGCTCTGGCCTTTTTGTTTAGACTGCATGGAGATGTATGTTCTACCTAATCCTGTTCATAACAAATTTCTAAGGAGTCCTGTGTTAGACTTCTGTGAGATTTGGTAATTGCAATTCAAAAGGGGAATTTGACCTCTATTCTGCTGTTTTAATGAATAGCATCTGAAGAACTTACTACTTTTGATAGCTGATAGCATCTCTAAGTGTATACTTTCTTACTGGTTTGTAGGCATCTTGGACTTCTGCAAACAGGATATCTGTGCATCCTCATCCAACTGACAGCTCATACAGAAGCTCTGCAGAGCACATAACATCAGCATCGTTGCTGAGAACAAGGAAAATGTGCAAGTCCAACCAATCCAAAGCAATCAACAAGGAAACAGTCATCTCTAGAAATATATGCTGAACACCTTCTTGTCTTTTTTTTTTCCAGCAGATTTTATGTTTATGATGATGTAATACTGCTCATATATCATCCCTTTCTTTTTTGGAGCACGGCAGCATGGGGAACAGCACAACCAACAGCACAGAACTAGGATCAGCATTGTGGAAAGAGCAGGGCCACTACCATGGACTAAAATACAGACTGGTATGAGTGGTACAGGTTAGTTGGTAGCATTTTGCCTTGTTTGTCTTATAAAGTTTCCATGCAAATACCCCAATCAACTGATACTTTGGTAGTTGCAACATTGTCTTTCTGTATCTGTGATTTTGGTTGCAGCTAGATAGCCCCTGCTGAATGCACATCTATATTTCTTCTTAACCAGTGATTTTTTACTAGCAAATCAAAACATTTTTTTCCTCACAAATAAATGTATTAAGACATTTAATAGCCAGCAGAACTGGATGCTTGCAGCAGTGGATATTCCCCTTTGCCAGACCATTACTTTATATTGGTGCTTTGAATTTAAGATTCTCTGAAATGTCAAAATACTATTTGTCAATTACACACCACAAGTTTTACAAGCAGAAACTGCCTGAACATGATATGAAGCCTTTTGAACAGAAATCATCTGTTCATCATCTGTATGCCATCTTCTCCCAGTATGGTGACAGAGCCAAATCCTCAGGTGCATTTGCAGCCAGCAAGCTGCAGCCCTGAAGGAGCAGGGGAAAGAGCAGGATGCTTCTTTAGGCCTCTCAGATGTTCCTGCCTTTCTTTCCTGGAGCTTCCCTGCCATCTGTGGGGCCCGTGTGACACTGCACTTGGAAGAAGGCAGCTGAGAACACAGTGAAGAAATGCAGCTGGCAGCCTAGCTTTGCCAAGACCAGCCTGCAGCTGATCAGGGATAAATTAAAAATCTGGGTTATGTACAAGATGTTATGGGTTGGGAAGGCAGGGATGTTGTTTTCTGACACAGACGTTACCGACGCTTACTAGGCCTTGTGGATGATCCCGTGCTCCAGCTTTGATTCACAAACTGTGTGCTGCCCTGCACAGCCCGTGGTACCTGAACCACTGGCCAGCCTCAGCCTTGAATCTCAGCTCTGAGCTGAGCAGGAACTGTTTGTGCTTTCTGTGCTCCCTGGCTCCTGCTACTCTGCTTTCTGAAGAGATGGATGCTGCCTCAGTATTCTGAATAGCAGGTGAGATCATGCTTAATCTCTCCCAGGCTGGGATGAAGGAACACCAGAACTGCTGCTCTGTGTCTCAATAACAGCACACCCTGTTACCCAGCAGTGCTGATCTCTTTGGAGATTTGACCTTTCCCCCCTGCACGTAAGACATACTATCATGCATATTTACCCATACAAGCCTAAAGGCCTTAAAAACCTGAAAAGTTCTCAGAAAAATTTATTTCCATAAATTAAAAACACACACAAAAGAAACAGTAAAATTTTAGATGCACACAATATTGAACAGAAACAAAATGCCAAGAGCATGATGGAGGCTAATGGCACAAATGTACAAATTCTCATTGAGCTATTTGTTACCTTGATAGCATCATACAGACTTTTAATCCACAGTTACTATCCATACTCTAGAAAAGCACCTGGAACATAATATACCAAAGGCCCACCTGAAATAAAATACAATGAATGAGAACTGCTTGCAGGAAATCATTTCCAGCAAGCACCACAACTCAAATGTATGCAGACACAAGCCAGCCAGGCAAATGCTGCTCCATACACTAAGGAGCCTTAGCTGCTCCAGTCATAGCATGATGAAAACAATGACTTTTTTCTTCTTCTTTTTTTTTTTTTTTGAAAATGATCCTTCTATCTCTGACAATCAGCAAATTTAGCAAAGAGCTGCTTGGCTCAACTAAGAGACAGGACATGGCAAAAGCTTTGCAATCCTTCTCAAGCTGTTCTGGTCATCAGTTTGTGATGTACTTTCCATAGTGATATAAAAACATCCCCACTGGAGTGGATCCACTTAATGAAAAGGCAAGTGTACATATCCTTCTGTTAGGGATATATGCAAGACCTCAAAAGATTAATCCTCTACACTTTTTTCTTTTAATTAGCTGTGACAGAAGCAGCTCAGAATGGCAAATGCCCAGCTTTTGCCCAGTCATCACTCCCAGTGTACAAGCAGCAGCCACAAGGAACATGGCTGTTCCATGAGTGCTGTAAACAGAAACAGAGGTGGGAAAGGAAAAAACAAAAAAGTGCATAAGCAGGACTGACACCTGTATGCTGGAGAGGGGAAGAGATGCTTGGTCTCCTCTAGCTTACACTGTCATACAAACACTAAACTAAAGAAATAATGCTGTGTGTTTGGGTTTCCACAAATTAAGGTCTGGGAGAAGCTGAACAACTGCAATATCATTTTGTAACTCCTCCAATTTCTGTAAACCAAAGAGTATTTGAGTGTTGTCTCTGCTCTGCTCTCTCCACTGCAGCTTGTAGGAAAAAAAGTTCATAAATCTTATTTCAATGCAATCAGAAACAAGAGAGAGCAGGGAAGAAAATTAAAAATAAAACAACCCTAAACAAAACAAATAAAACCCAACATAACCCAAAGGAAAAGACTCAACACATTCTATCTTTTGAAGCACATCAGAGGTCTGAACTTCTCCTGGATCCAAGTCTCTTCTCCCCCCCCCATCCCAATCTTTATTTCCTTGAAAGCCCCAGTAAGTTTACTGCAAGCCTCCCATATGAATAGAAGGTGAATGAATGCTCTGTAACAATCCCATTCTATAGCATAAATCCATAAAAATATATCTCTCACTCTTGCTACCACTGCCAACTAGTCAATAATTGGGCTAATAAGCCAACCTAGGGAAACTTTCAAACATTTTTTAGGAGGCAGTTGATCTTTGTTTTTTAGGAATTTCTTTTTACAAAAATAAAGGGGGTCAATTAGAATGTTCTATAACAGCCCAGTAAGTTAACCAGAAAAATACTATGTCATTATGTTCAAGGTTTTTCTTGTTATTTTACCCTCAAACTCCAAACACTACTACTCTAAGTGTGCACTCCTCTCTTTTCTTCAGTCTTCTTGATTAAAGATAATTAGCCTTCAAAACAAGAATATAAACTTCTACAAATCCCAGCACAAGCTGGGAGCAAAACAAACCCAGATCAGATTTCTTTCAAGACTCAGGCACACACAGTGTAATAATTCTCTTCCATTTCTCTACTCTCAAAGCTCTGCAATTCAACAGATTGCTTGTTAACATTTAGTTTTCTGTTTGGTCAGTAATAGAAGTGGTAGAGCAATAGAAGATAATGATGGTATTTGCAGTCCTGCATTTATTGGGACTTTATAAAAATACCCACCCACTAGATATTTACTCAATTTGAAGGTAAATAGAAACTCTATTATATGGGTAGATAAATAAGAAAGTGCAAGTTCAAGTGACAAGTGAAAGAAAGAACAGACTAATTAAATTTGAGCATCCCAGCAACAACAGCTTTGCCTGAATAACATCTCTAGGCACTAAGGGACAGAAATTACCTGAACAGCAGCTAGCATTGGAATTTTGCTTCAAGTTAAGTTTAAGAGAAGTTATGCCAGAAGGGAGCTCTCTTCCTTCCAAAGGCAGAGCTGAGAAATTGCCCAGTGCTGCATCAGACAATTACATATGGCCTTACCTAACAAAAACAATGTCCACGTACTTGGAGGCTCTTTGTACAGCACTGGCTATTACGTACAACAGTGCTACACAGAGAATAGCTAATTATGAGCTACAGGAATTGTAAATCTAAAATGGTAAAAAAACCCAAAAAACCCCCCCCAAACCTTCTTGTTGACATTAAAATCAAGTTAGTGTGAATGGAATTAAAATAATTTTAAAACAACTATCAAAGATTTTGCTGGTCTTCTCTGCATGCAGCAGCTCAGCTCAGTTAAATAAAAATCTCTGCCTATGTATCCTGCAGCTTAACACCCTCATGGACCAATTATCTTTTCCTCTGGAGAAGTTGGCATCAGCCAAGTAAGTAAAAAAATCTGCTATTTGGGAAAAAATAGTACTGGGCACCATTTTTCCTTAAAAGATCACCTTTTTTGAGTTGAATCAAGTTAAAAGAAGCATGTACAAAGTGCAAGTTATTTAATGTCTAATTATGTGGGGCTTCTGCTGCCTGGAGCCTGGAAGGGCAAAGAAACTTAGAAGGACCCTTCTAAGTTAACAGAAGGAAGAAACAATTGAACATAAGCCTAGACAGCTACTTTTAATTATCAAAAGGTTAGTGGTATATATCAAGAAGGTGTTTGCTAGAATTTTTCTTTATCAAACACCTTATCTCTTTTGTCAGCTTGTTAAAAATAGCCATTACAGTAACAACAGCAGACTCAAATGTGCAAATGATCTGGAGTACAGAGTTCTAGCATCACTGAAGGTGCACTACTTCCTCCTTGACACTCCTACTCTACCCCCAAAAGACATATAAACATAATTAATTAAATATAAGCAGTTATTTTCAGAGGTTGAGAAAGGAAGGGTAAATTTCATGTGGCTGTGTTACACTCAAACAGGGACTTAGAAGAATCCCTCCAACAGCATTAAAAAAAATATAGCACCTTAAAGAGGGTCACAGCCAAAAACTGATTATCAGATGTTAGAACAGAGTGGCAGAGTAAGGTATGAACAAGTCAGTAGATTTCTCCCAAGAAAAAAAACATTAAAGAAGCTGACTGGACCGTTTCCAGCTAAGTGACTCCCTCAGATGCTGGAGGCCTGCTCCTGCTCAACCTCCTCTGCAAAAAAGGCTTCAAGGTCCATTAGCTTCTGACTCAGAAGAACATCTAACTCTGCACTCTGCAGTGCAGCTCTTTTTGCTCGGGTGAAACTACCCACTGCTTTGATTTTGCCTCGTGTCTTCCTTTTCCGGGGAAGAGTAAAGTCCTGAAACTCAAGAATCCGCTTTCTCTTTTGCTGGCTGACAGAGATCAAGTGTCCATTCTTCTCCTTGGGCTCCTCAAAAATTGTTTCCAAGCTCCTGGTTAAAAAAAGAACAGAACTCATGAATACCTTAGCAGCAGCCACCTTACACTGACAGGGAGACTGGGGGATTTCATAACCCAGGTAAACACACCTCTAACTTTGACATTTTTACAGCCCCTCCACACACCTTACACCTCCTACAATGCACATTACTGCCAGCTGAGTTGTTATTGCTGCACAGACATTTGGATAGAATCTCTTTGTATTTCAGTTCTAAAGCACAATTATAGAATCTTAATTTTACAGAATAAATAAGTTTGAACATTTGATGACAGGCCAAGATTGTTGGTATTTTAAACAACATTAATTCCCTTTGAATTTTGGAAAGTAAGTGCTGTACTTTGATGGAGACTGGAATGAATGGATAAATGAAAAAATATACAAATCCATACTTAAACAGCTGCAAATTCTTAGTTCACATTCTATTTCACTTTTTCACATCCAAACTATAAAATATACTATTTTTAAATTAACTTTCTCTAGCAGTTTAAACTAGACCAATTTTAAGAATATATCTCCCTCTTAGCTTTCATCTCCTCCTCCCCCCATCCCCCTCCCAGTTAATTTACATTTATCTCAAGTTTTCTTATAGGAAGCAGAACCAACCTGGCAGGAGGAGGGGATTTATAGTTCTTATTTGTGTAAATTTCTTCTAAACTAAATTCTTTCTTCTTAAGCCTGAAAAAGTAATGACAAATCAATCTAGAAGGAAGAATCTCAAAACAATCTCTCTTCACAGCAAGCAGATTTACAAGCAACAAGTACTGTTTGCATTCTGTGCCTAAATGCTAACTAATTATGCTTTAACTAACTGGGGACAAATAGGAATGAAAAATGAGCTCATGAAGCACATAATGTCATACAGTGTTTTTATAAGGTTGGTGTCAAGACTTGCACTTTCTGCAGAGATCAATACTTCTTCCAGCATTCTATGATGCTTTGAAATAATGATGCTCAAAAGGGGAAATCCCCTTCACTTTTTTGTGAAAGCTGAGAAGTCTTACAGTTTAGCAGATTAATACTTCATCTCTTGAGACTGATTTTAGTTATTGACAATTACCAAGGCATCTCTGAAGAAATGCATTCCATTGTCAAAGGTGGTACCTGTGTTTAGGACAGAAGTCACACTAGATGAAGTATGACTGATCTGACCAGCAGGAACACTAGATGACTGATTGGAAAACTTTATCATCATCTGGCACTGTGATTCCCCACACTTTCACTGAACTAATGCTTCCCTAAGATCACACCCCAAACAAAGAAACTGTGAAAAACTCCAACACAATTTGCATCAACAGAACTTCCTAACAGATAACTTCATCTCACTGTGCACTGCAGGT